GAGTAACAGGCATCTTCGCCACTGTGACTTTCGGTATCAGTGTCGGACTGGCACTCTTTTCGACTAGTATTATAATTACTTTGCATCACTATTCTGGCAGTATTACTAATAGGTGAGAGTGTCCCTTTGTCAATCAACATAATTTATTCGATTTTGCTAGAAACCTCCTTCCTCCAAGATGATACTTCAATCACACAAGCTGAATATCATGGTCAGTGGCGTTTCTTGGGGGAAGGCCAAAGTTATCAGGGGGCCCAAGTGAGTTGACTGGAGGTGAAACATTCACAACACTGGCCAACCAAAGGGAAACAAAGACGTGTGTTTCACTAAATAAGAAAAGCAGGAGCACGCTCTTCTATTGTAAAAAGTGTGATTTTGCTCTGTGTGAAGTGGACTGCTTCGAGAAGTGCCACGCGCTCAGTGTGAGTATCGTAGTGAAGTGACTGTGAACTGAAACTGTGAAGTGACACAGTTCAAACTCGTGTACAGTCTGAACAAAATATAATTGTATATAGTGTGATTATATTTACAATTTCACCATGATTCAAGGTTGGAAAAAAAAACAACGGGTAAGTCCTTTGGAATTTCATAACATATATAATAAAGATTATATTTTGCAATTCATGACAGAATAATTACAGTTAATTTTCGTTTGTAAAAATTGCTCTTTTGTGTATATGTAGAAAATTTTATTGTCTTTCAGGTTGTTTTTCGTTTGTATTTCTATGTTGCATAGAACGGAAAATATGTATTTTTTTCTGAAAGTTTGCAATGTTAATTAATTAGGGCAATTTAAATATCGGCCGCAGAGGGCTGCCGGCAATTTAAAAGTCCTTACGTTAAAGGTTAATTTTAACAGGTCCCTCACTATCTTGGCAGAGGGTCCTGATATAAATCCTTTTGCCTGTTTGAGTCCACTTATGGAATCCCAGTGTTTTTTGTGATTTCTGTTAGTCCAGTCCCTGATCTCTTTATTGGCAACTCCAATTGAGATGCCGCAAGCTGGTTCAGGTCCTGTGAATGGCTGTTCAGATCTTGTTCCTGTCAGCTGATCTGCGGTTTCATTCCCAGCAATACTCTCCTCCTGAGATGCCGCAAGCTGGTTCAGGTCCTGTGAATGGCTGTTCAGATCCTGTTCTTGTCAGTTGATCTGCGTTTCATTCCCAGCAATACCCTCATGACCTGGCACCCATATCAGTTGTACTCTGTTAGGTCTGGCCAGTTGTATGAGGGATCGGTGGCAGTCCCAAACCAATTTTGAAGTGATTTTGGTGTGTACCAAGTGCTTTGATTGCAGCTTGACTGTCTGATAGAATGTAGATGTTCCTGTTCTGTACTAACCAAGGCTGAAGATATTCTTCAGCCTAGTTCCATCACAATACACCCCAGCTCCAGTGCCTTTATTTGTCTTGGAACCATCTGTATACCAAATTAGTCCCCTCTTTCTATCAGGTTGAAACCTCTCTTTCCATTCACTTCTGTCAGGAAATCTAATCGTGAAGGGTCTATCATAAGCATGTTTCAGTAGCATTTTATCAGATCCCATCTGTAGGATGGGTTCTTTTTCCATGTCCCGAGTCGTGTGTGCATGTCCAAAACCTTCGGATTTAGGTCTCCAGTGATCATTGCAACATAACCTGTAATTTCCTAACTTGGCCTCTGCTTCCATCTGCAGATGCAGTGGGGGGGAGTCCAAGTAGGATTTCCATTGCAGCTGTGGGAGCTGTTCTCATTGCTCCTGTAGTTCCCAAGCAGGCCATCTTTTGCAATTTGCTTAGTTCAGCCTGACTTGTTTTGAGTTTAACTCTAGGCCACCATATAGTGGCGGCATAAGTAATTATGGGTCTTACTGCAGCAGTGTATATCCAATATACCACCTTTGGTGTCAGTTCCCAAGTCTTCCCAAATGTGTTTCTGCATGTCCAGAAAGCTTTATAGGCCTTATTAATAGCCTTATCCAGCTGTTGTTTCCATGTCAGCCCCTTGTCTAATGTTAATCCAAGGTACTTGACTTCACTGGATAGCCGGGTCACTTTACTGAAGAGTATTGGTTCTTTGAGCCCCTTTATATCCCTCTTCCTAGTAAAGGGTACAATCACCATCTTGTTTGGATTGATAGACAAGTGTGTCCTTTCGCTCCACTGTTGAACTGTAGACATGGCTGTTTGTAAGACCTCTGATACAGTGTGCGGCAATTTCCCATTAATTAGAATTGCTATATCATAAGCATATCCTACTGTGAGTAGGCCTGTACTGTTGAGCTCCCAAAGAAGATCATCCACGACCAGGCTCCACAGGAGAGGGGCAAGAACACCCCTCTGCGGACACCCTCTCACCGCAGATGCTCTTGCGGTCTCTCCAGATAATGTAGCACTTATATTTCTGCATTTCAGCATGGCACAGATCCATCTGCATATTGCAGGCTCACTGCCATGCCTTTCAGCAGCCTGTTTTATTGTATCAGAGGAGGTTCTGTCAAAGGCTCCCTCTACATCAAGGAATGCTCCAAGAGCAATATCCTTGTGTTCAATAGCATTCTCTATGTAATACAGTATCAGTAGATTTACCTATGTGGTAAGTATGTTGGTTTCTATGCAGAGAATAAATCTTCAATGCACCATCGCTAATGTATCTATCAACTACTTTCTCCATCGTTTTCAAAAGGAAAGATGATAGGCTAATAGGACGATAAGCCTTAGCCTCAGTATAAATGTCACTTTGACTTGCCTCCAGGCTGCAGGGATAAACTCATGCGCCATGCAGGCTCTGAATATGTGGCATAGGTGTGGGACTAAATGTTCCATCCCTTGCTGCAGAAGTGCCGATAGAATACCATCTGTTCCTGCAGACTGAAGGTACCTAACGCCCATCTGATTTTTGATTGATTCATTACCTGACCAGCCAGGTTCTAGTCTCCCCTGTCTGTTATGTATCCACATACACCCAGGTTCTGCTGGCCCTGCTCATCAACTTTGAATCTGGGAAGTGAACTCTGAACAGTTCCTTCAGTGTTTCTTCTCCAGTTTGTGTATACTTGCCACGATTGCTGCTTACTTTCAGGGTCGTAGCCATAAACCCAACTTTCATCACCAGTGACAACCTTCGAAAGAAAGTTTTGATCCTCTCGAAGCTGCTGTTGAAGTTCCCTGCAGACTTCCAAGTGATGCTGCTTCTGTTCATTTTGCAGCAGTCATAGCACAAACTTTGCCACAATCCTCCTCATGTTCAGTTCCTCTGACAAAATTCGTTGACATGTACCATAACTTAGTCCCAAGGTGTTACAGAGGTCTTGGATGGTCAGTCTACGATCTTGCAGAATCAGATCCCTAACTTTTGCGACATTTTCTGGTGTGGTGCCAGTTGACGGCTGTCCTGAACGATCATCATCATCATCATCATTAGTCGATGTTCAGCCATTTTGGAAACGCTTATACCAGTTGTAAGTTTGTGTCTGGCCTAAACTGTTGTCACCAAAAGCTTGCTTCAAGATTTGGCGCGTTTCTGCAGCAGTTTTCCCAAGTTTAAAACATAACTTTATACAGACACGCTGCTCTCTCAGGTCAGCCATCACAAAACCACAAACTCACGGAAACACAACAATGGAAATACATTCACCAAAAATAAACCCAACCACTCAACTTGACACCGCTTGCCACACTGATTCAAGAAGGGTGTGTCGGGAGACACCTAGCAGTATTTCAATGTACTCATAATCATACGCGTGCAAAATTCGAATTTCGGGAACTTTTGGATTGCACCACGTATATTTAAGTGTTAGAATGTATGAGGTTACCTGAAGTACCATCAGAGTTACAAAACAAAAGCAATAATTTACTGACTAACAATATCTCAAGGTTCTGTGTCACTTCAGTAAGAATGAGAAATTGTTAATACGTGTGTGTTATGATTAGGAACCTTGTACTTTTGACAGAATTTTGGATATGGCAAAGTTTATTATTCTAATTCTATTATTGTTAGTTGGTTTGAGGATGTCTTCCCTACTTACTTTGGCATTGAAATCTCATAACAGAATTTTCATATGGCATATAGGGAATTCCTCATAGAAATTGTCCTTCACATTATCAATTTTATCCTCTGTTTGGGCATGAACCTTCAGAACAATGATATCACACCAGCAGCCTCTTAGTATTATGTGTGACATCTTATCACTAACAAACTCTATCGTCTTAGCTGCTGATATCATTCACTTATGTATGAAAAACACCTGTGCCTAATTCATGATTCGCATTCCCCTTTTCCTAAAAAAAAGTATATTTGCCTGCTGGTTCGCTGCCACCCGTGTCCCATCTGACCACCTGTACTCCCACTAGATCTGACTTATATATTGGTATTTCTTTCACCACTGTTATGAAAGAACCTTCCCTATACAAATATCTTACATTCCACATGTCAGATCTCATGTTAATTTTCTGTAGCTTAAGTCGTTTATCCAAATAATCCAGGTCTGAGGCCCTGTGTGACATTTTGTAACAAGCTTATTTTTTACGTTAAGGAGTTGTTAACCGCACGCTCAACCCGCCAAGCTGGAGGACCACCCCTTGTTTGCTGCCCAAGACTGCTTATTCAGTATATTCCCAGCTAACCTCCATATCTGGAGGCTTTCTCCTCCATTTGCAACCTGAGAATGCGCCATGCTGTCGTGACAGGGGACCCACCTAACATGGGGCATTATAGTGTAAAGTAATTTAAATGAAATTTTTTTGATGGTTTAAATTAAATTGAAAACAATGACTTTGCAGGAGAGACATAATATATTGTATAAAAAATGTAGAAAATCCAAGTAGCATGGGTTCAGGTGTTTGCATTATTTTAAAACAATTTTTAGGTGGTCCATTATCACTTGCATTCTGTTCATTTTTCTTAGCACTGAAATAAAGAATGGCTCTGGTGTTGTCACTGTATTTCCATATTGCCTCAATAATATACGTGTGTATTTATATACATATATATATGAAACAGTTGCTTGGAATCAAAATACAAAAGTGAATAAAAATGTGAGCCTCATTTTATACATTCCTTATGAGAAGTTTTCCCCTAAGAAGTTATTTTTCACAGGTTCCCTGAAAAACTTCTTATCAGAGAAACACTGTATTTGACTTTCAGTTCTGGAAAGCACAGAAGGTGATACGAGTAAAGGTGTTACTGCCAAATCAAGAGTGCTGTTATCCACGGTTAAAGTTTGTATCGAAGGGTTTGACAGCAGCAGAGCAGCAGACGCAGCAGTTTGATGCAGAGAGCATGAAGTACCTGTCATATGTCCTCTACCCTCTCTGCTTAGGTGGAGCAGCATACTCTCTCCTCTATGAACCACACAAGAGGTACGTACAGTGATGGTGAAAATTTACACTCTTTTTTTTTCATGCATCATTGGTATGTAAGTATTATACATATTTTCCAAATTGATTGCTAAATATTTTTATGTTTATTTAGAGGAGTATCATAGGACTATTAGACCTACCATTAACTATAGAAAGAAGAAAAGGAGCTTTATAATATAATAAATTAATTTGAAGGAAATTAGTTCCAAGATAACAGTAAAAATTCATGAATGTGGCCTGTATGGCCCTTGTTCCTGAAACATCGAAACTCGCTTTGAATCACTCAGTGATTTCGTGCTCCATTTTAAGACAGGCATTATATTCTGTCAAATGTAAAATTGTTGGTGTGGAGGTAACATTTCCTAAAGTGGTACTGGGATTGGAGGTAAAGCTTCATGCATTCTTAACCAGACACTTGGCAGAAATGAGCAGTTAGATTCAAATTCTGGCTTCTTTATCCTTGTGGATTGCACCTGGTACACATTGAATGGAAAGTTTGGTAGATCACAGAAGCAGTTTGAATGTGGTGGTCTGGTAAATAATCCTAATCCTAGAATCCTGCCTGTAGCCAGTCACTGTACTGACTGAGCTGTCATGGCTAATGAAATCAGTAAAACAAGTATTACACAGGTCATTCAAGTTTGATGATAATTCTGTCCACCGCTAACCCTCACTGTTATATACTGTCACGTGTTGGGTGTATAATGCGACAAATAACTTCACGCCGTATTTGATATAGCGAATTTTATTTCACATTCACACTTACAATCACCCAAATTACAATCTGAGAATTACTGCCATCGGCAGTATCACAAATACTACACTGCAAATGCCAGAATACAACTGACTGGTTGCTGGCTAACTCGGAACTCTTCGGCTCCTCTCGGCACGTCACTGCGGGGAGAGTGGCGGGGTGATGACTCGCCTATTATGAGAGCGCTACGTTACCGCCACGTGCCGCTGGGGAGGTAGGGGTCCTCCGTTGCGCAACATGTCACACTGCTCCCTTCTTAAGGCTGTTCATTCCGAATAGCCTAACAGTGCTTCCCCCGTTCCTTTTCTTTGGAGGCTGTTCTTGCAGCATCTTCTTTGTTTCGACTATTTTTCGTAGCGACTATCATCCAGCCGTTACAACAGCTCCCCTCTTAAGACCTGCTCATCTCGAGCGGCTTCCTTTTTAACTTGCCAGAAGATCGCATTCATCCATTGCTTTCTCCCATGGTATATTCACTCTCACTGGGGAGGCCGGTTCTTCTGTTTTACCAGCTCCTCTTCTGTGCCCTGCTTCTTTTTTCGTTTTGGAGGGGGTCGACCCCTCCATAATGTCTAGTCCTTGATCAAGTTTGTCTTCGGAGGTTCCTCATGTCGACGTAACAGCCCTTGGTGCGTTGTTCGCCCTTGCTGACTTCGTCGTTCCTCCTGGTCTTCCAGCCGCTTGCTGGCACGAGACCGTGGCGCGAAGTCCTTTCTCCGGTATCTGAAGGTTCCCTGGGGAGTTTCCTTGAAGTTCTTGAGGTTTCTTGAAGTCATTTCTCCAATGTCGTGCCACTGTCGCGCGACGGGATATCTTCCTGCAGATGGCAGCCAACTTTATCCGGGATGCATGATCTCCTCGGGTCCAAGATTTCCTGAAGACATTTCTCCGGCGCCATGACACTCTTGCATGGCAGGACACCTTCCTGCTGGCGACGGCCAATTTATTCTGGGGTCCGCAATTTTTCCGTGTCGGGTTCTTCATAATTCGTTGCTTTCGGTCCCTACGCCTTTTCTTCTTCGGTTCTCCGACCAGCATTACTCCGGCGTCTTCTATGGGTACCTCTCGTAATTCTGCCGCGTCAGGTTTCCTGTGCACTGAGGCCGGCTTTTCTCCTTCTAGACGTGCCTCCATCTCTTGGCAGGCCATTGTCTCTCCGACCGGTATCACTACGGGGACCTCTTCTTGTGCCGTGCCCACTACATCCTGTTTTTCGCTTGGATTTGTCTCCATCGCATCTTGGCAGGCTGTCGTCTCTTCCTGCCAGGCATTCATATTGGTTTTCAACCTCTTGGCTCACATGGCGGCCGTCCTGGCTTCGATGGATTTCGTCTCTGCTTGGAAGGCTTCTCTCTCTGTAGCCATCTCTTCTCGCCAGGCCTGTCTGTCAGCCTCCCATCTTGCTATGAAATCCTTATGGTTGGCTTCCGCCTTAGCTTGGTTGGATCTCATGCTGGCGTTGATTCTTGCCAGCATTTCCATTATTCGTTGCATATCTTGTTTCTCCATTTTGTTTCAGGAAAGTACTCGATGCACAATAATTAGTGTGTGGCGTGTTTAAGTTCGTAATCCCACTTCTGACACCAGTTGTCACGTGTTGGATGTATAACGCGACAAATAACTTCACGCTGTATTTGATATAGCGAATTTTATTTCACATTCGCACTTACAATCACTCAAATTACAATCTGACGATTACTGCCATCGGCAGTATCACAAATACTACACTGCAAATGCCAGAATACAACTGACTGGTTGCTGGCTAACTCGGAACTCTCTCGGAACTCTTCAGCTCCGCTGGGCACATCACCGCGGGGAGAGTGGCGGGGTGACGACTCGCCTATTATGAGAGCGCTGCGTTACCGCCACGTGCCGCTGGGGAGGTAGGGGTCCTTCGTTGCGCAACATGTCACAATACATATAAGCTGAATGTTATCTGAACTATGCCCAGCATTAAATTACAGTTTTCTTTATAATGGAGTAAAATTAAGCAAAACAAGCCTGGCAAGGAATCAAACTACTGAAGTCATCTTAACCTTCCAAACAAAGTAATAAAACTTCCTAGACCCAGAGTTAAAAGTAATATGGCCAAAAATAATGATCAAGGTCCCGACTGGGTTTTAAGGTGTTTTTGGCAGCCGCTCTAGGCAGATGCTGAGATACTAATGGAAAAGAAAAATGGCTACTGCTTCCTTCAACTTTATTTCCAATTAATAATTCATGATCATCTTACCATTTGACCACATTTATAACCTATGTACTTGAAACAATCTCGTTACATAACCCAAGCATTAACTGAGTCCATATCTAGGTATGAAGAAAGGAGGTAGGCCTATTGTGAAAGACACAGAAGAAGAGAAATGAAGTTTATATTTATAGATGGCATAATTGCAAAGAGATACCTGTCTTCAATGGGACAAAGAACATGTTGGGAACATCCTTTTGATCCACCTGACCTCACATTAAAGGGACAAAGGAAGGTACTCATCTAGACCAGGTGGCAATGAGAGGAATGGCACTGGGCTTCACTGCTCTGTAACCTAGATACTTCAGGGGTTTTCGGCTACAGACAGACATCTTTTGCCTTTTACATTATTCAGCAACCATAACATAACACATTAACATTTAGTACTGGGATACTGTTGCAACAAAGATCTTTTCACTTTATACATACTAAAAATAACTAAAGTTCTAGAATGAACTCCAGACTTCTGTTTCCCTTGAAATTCTTTTGTGTAAAAGTGGAGCTGGCATCAGCTACCTGCCTGGAACACTGAATAATGTAATCATGTAGAGAAAGGTAAAGCTATCTCTGTAACAAGGTTGTGAGGCATCGAGGCTCACAGATGGTGGTAAGGTTTTCAGCCTTACAGGCTGGCCACCCTTTATCCCCCAGGAAGATTCCTGGTACTCGTTTCTGTTAGAGGCTGAGTCAACCCCAGGGCCACAGTGCAGCTGTGAAAAAGAATCCAGTGACCTCATCAGGAATCAAACCTGCAACCTTCTGGCTTGTAGCATAGTGCCTCAACCATCTATGCTATCACGTGCCCATGATGTAAACATGTAGTTCTCCACATTGTCCTACTTTTCCATTAAGACCTCTTAACTCCAGCCTAACAGTTTCAAACTCTTACTTGGTCCAGGAACTGTGAGATATACTGTGACATTCACCAAGAAACCATTATTTTTTTGTCTCTGTGTGTCTTTGTCATTGTCCTCTTCCCTATGTGTTATGTGCATAGTGTGAAAGTAAATGTAGAGGATTACTGAAAGATCAGTGTCATGTGTCTATGTATATGTACTGTTGATTCTGCATTCTGCCACGTAATTGCATAGTAGAGTTACAAAGTCATGAAGTTTTGTTCACTGGGTTTACCTGACATGGCTGAGTATACTGCAGACCTCTTCTTGGAAGCTCGTGCACTACTGTTGGAAGAATTCTTTCATGCCCTGTACTGTGACCTTACATTCAGGCATTGTAGCCTTTTCAACCCCTTCTGCTGCCTGGAACCCTTATCCCTTGAAGAGGGTTTAATTCTTGGAAACTGGTAGTAATCAGCAGAAGGCTAGATCTGGATAGTAGAGAGGTCATGGTCGTACATTGATACCATTCTTGGCCAGGTACTGCTGTACCATGAGAGGTTGATGAGCTCTCGCATTGCCATAGCATTACCTGGGTACTCTGATGGGCCATGGGCTGGACGTCTTGGGTTTGATTTCTGGTTGGGGCAAGAGAACTTTCTTATCTCCCAGGGGTAAAGGCTGCTGGGGTGTGAAGCTGGCCACTCAGCTCCTTCTAGTGCTGAGGCCAAGAATGGTGCAGCTAACTCTCCACTCCCTCCAGCTGTCATCATGGTGTGGTGCCTAATTATTAAGCACAGGGACCTTACTTTGCTTTTTACACTTATGATGGAAACCTCTTTGCAGATGGCAAAAATTGTCAGTGTAATTGGTTTTCGTATTCCTCTTCCAGAATAAACTTATGATGAAATTCACATCTCACATTGTCTTTCACTTTGAGCAGTCTGCATGAAACATCTGCTTCCAGGATGATGAGGGTGACTTCCAATATGTTTGGCGTTTCAGTTGTAGGTCAGAAAGGTAGCACCATGTTTGTTAGAATGGTTTGTCCACTCATATACAAAATGTAATGTTTGATCGCTTTTAAAATTCTGGCCTTGTAATGTACATAATTTGCCCAATCAAACTGGTGGCTTTCACAGTTTCTATGCACCAACTTGGTGTGTCTGCCCACAGTCTTTATACAAATCTCTGCATACTCAGACGTGAAGACTTACATCAGTGGCTGCTGAAAAAGGCCAAAACGTTTTTTACTCTGCTACCCATGTATTTTCACATACAGTTTCTAGGTATATTTATTTTGATGTAAATCTATGTTCATTTAAGAAAAATAATTAGCAGAACTCTTGATGAATACTTTAGTAACATTTTGTATGATCTTATTATTATTTAGAATATAATATCAGTTTTTTTATGGGTGTGAACTGTATTCTTTGTATTTCTTTGAGTTTTCCCCTTGTTATACTTGCTGTATGCTTTGTCACTTAATGTTGTGTTTCTTCTCGCAGTTGGTACTCATGGAGTGTTCACAGTTTGGTGAATGGTGTGTATGCCTTTGGATTCTTGTTCATGTTGCCTCAGTTGTTTGTCAACTACAAGCTGAAGTCAGTGGCTCATTTGCCCTGGAAGGCCTTCATGTATAAGGTAATTTCAGACTTAATCAAGATGCTTGAATACAAACATTATACTTCTTTTAATTCTAGAGACTTCATTGCACGTTCTGTATTCTGACATTTCAAAACTTGCACAAACCTTGGTAATAGAGGAAGGTGGTTAGCTTCTTATTTGCACTGTCTTTTCATCCTACAGACCACTAGACCACAGAGACGGTCGCAGTGTATGAAAACATAATTAAGGAAGCAATTTTTTATTAGAAGAAAGACTGTAAAATTGCTACCTAATATAAGAACCTCATTTATAATAGAGATTTTATTTTCAGGCATTCAATACATTTATTGATGATCTCTTTGCCTTTATCATCACTATGCCTACTGCTCACCGAGTAGCCTGTTTCCGTGATGACATAGTGTTTCTCATCTATTTGTACCAGAGGTGGTGAGTAAAAACTAAATTTCTTTTCTTGAGTGGGGATTGCTCTGTGTAGTAAATAAGAGACCTTCTGCTGCTAACCGTTACTTACATACAAGCCACTGCATATTGATATTCTAGTGAAAGATGAATGTATGAGTAAGTGGAAGCTTCCTAGTTCATCAGAATGACTTATGAAATAAATATCGAAGAGCAGTTCCTTTGTTATCACTAGAATTCAGAACACAATCTCAATATAAACTGAACTGTTACATCCTCAAAAATGTGACAGATTTCAAATATTTGGGAAGGACTGTATCTGCCATGGTCCCTTGGTTTATGATGACATCAGTTAATGATCCACCTCTCATAAGGCCCCATTGTTTCTGTTGATAGTCTGTTTACAGTATCAGACATAGCAAGTGTAAGCCCATCAGCAGTGTTGTCTCATGACCATTTGATGCTCAGCTGGCTTTCATTTCAATATTTGATGTGCATTACTTGTGGAAACAGCTCTCTTGAATACTTAGGTTTTTTATCTATACTTTAAAGTGAAGTAAGATCTGTACCAATGGCCCCTAAAGTGAATGCAGAGATAGACAGTAAAGTGAGGAAAACAGTTTTATGCAAGTTAAGCCAGAAATTATTGAAAAGCATGAAAGAGTTACAAAAGCAAGTGCTGTGGTTAGAGAATATGGCCTCCCCCAATCCATGATTCCTATGGATATGCTTCTTTTTATGGTCTATTTGTTCATTATTTATCCATGTTTTAATTAATATTAATGCTTCATTATGTTCTTATAACATTTATTTATTAAAATTGTATTTTAGATATAATAAACCATGTTTTTTTAGGCAGGGGGAATGGTCGACTTCTGATCATTTTGGAATGATTGCCTTTAACATATAGTTCCTGTATGTGAATAATAATCATTTTAGTTAATGATGGATTTTGTTAACTGAGGAAGCACTGTACACACGCATACAACCCCCCCCACATACAGACACACACACACACACATATATGCACTCTCTCTCTCTGATATTTGGGAATGACAGTAACAAATATAAATTCCATTCGTTAAGAAATTTTGAGCTGTAAATTCAGGGAATGTTTGTTACCATTCAGTATAGAATCATTTATATGCCAAATTTTTATTTAAAAATATTAAAGATTAAATTAGATTCTGAACAGTAATTTTAGCTGATTTGTGTGTATGTAAAATTTGGTCTCTAAGGGGAAAAATATAGATTGACGGTGTTTGAGAACAGTATCTTTGTCATGTGTTGTTTTCTTCCTGTTTTTGTTATGTCATCAAACAAGCCTGGAGAGAAGAAAGAAGTGATATATACAGCTTCTGGCATCTCCCTCTGTCCTTTTGAATGATGTTTGTAATTGTCACATCTTATACCACATGCTGCCTGGCCTTCCAAGAAACTGTTCATTTAATATTTGTAACCAGTAGAGTTAGTTAATTTGAGAGTTTTAATGCCGAAATGTTCATGCTTTTTTAGATTATGCTATTTCAAAACAGCAGTTCTTTGGAAGAAAAGTGATTTTGTCCCCTGCCAGGTGGTTAGGAAGGTTGTGAAATTTTGGGTATGCATTAAAAATACTACCTGGGATGTGGTGCCATGTAGCATAACAGTAGTCCACCGCTGTTTTGGCATAATGTACTGTCCCCTTCTTCGAATCAAAGATTCAACCTTGAAGAAGGAAGCAGTACATTCCTCTGAAACATCAGTAAACTTCTACCAGACTACATAGTGTCACATCCCGGATGTTAATATTCTTCATAGTCACTGCCATTAGAACCCCAAATATATCTTGGATATTCAGAATTTCAAATATATTTCAGTTTTCACAGCATGTCATAGCTTCTGTCATTCTTGTCATTTTTGTTTCTGTTGTACAGTGCTGCTGCTCACAGGTAAAGATGAAATGTAAGTTGTGAATATATCATGTTGCCCTCAGTGACGTCATACGTAAGCATCCAGTGCTCTCTCAGAATGTTTGTATTATCGCTTTCAGGGGAATAAAATTGTTGCCACTGCATGCACTTACCCTCCAGGGTACCCAGATTCTGTTTACTTATTTGAATATTCACACATCAGCCACCCAGATATGATTGTGACAGTGCCTACTTTGGCATATCTGATTATGTTCCTGTGCTGGCCCACATATATTGTGAAGGTTTTATTTACTTTTTTTTATTGCTAGTGGGGCGGGACTAAGTCCCTTGTACTGCGGCCACTTCTGGCCTATTGTACCAGCCCCAGATGATAGTTGAGGGTGATTGTGGAGCAATTGGTGGGATGAAGGTTGGCAGGGGAAACCAAAGTAATCAGAGAAAACATGCCCCAGCGCCACTTTGTCCACCACAAATCCCACGTGACCAGACCCGGGATTGAACCCAGGCCCCCACAGTGGGAAGCCAGTGACTAACCACTTGAGCTATGGCGCGGCCTTATTTACTTACTTAATTATGGAGCTGAGCCCTTCTTGAGGAGCTGCCAATTCTGCAGCCACTCAAAAATTTCCCAGCATTTTATGGAACCCAGAGGTTCATTACCGTGTTCACAAGAGCCCTCCACTGGTCCCTATCCTCAGCCAGATCAATCCAATCCATACCGTCCCATCATATCTTTCTAAGATCCATTTTAATATTGTCCATCCACCTACACCTTGGTCTTCCCGGTGGTCTCTTTACTTCTGTCTTTCCCAGCAATATCCTGTATGCATTTCTCTTCTCCCTCATTCATGCTACATGCCCTTCCCATCTCATCCTCCTAGACTTGATCATTCTAATTTTACTTGGAGAAGAGTATAGTGAATCTTAAAGAAATACGTTGTGAAGGTATGTCTAGAATTAATTTGTTCAGGATGGGGCCATTTCCAGACTTGCAAACATGGTAGCGAAGTTTCAGACTCCACGAAAGAGGAAATTTCTTGATCAACTGAGCAGCTGTCCTCTTCTATGGGTTCTGCTCCATGGAGCTTGTTGTGATGTTCAAAAGTAATGCACTGATAGAGACAGCAGCAGTCTCGAGAATGGAAGTTCATTCATAACTGCCAGAGATGGTTGCCCAGAAATATTCCGTTGAAGTCCAATGTTACTGTTAAGTTTATAACTCAGTTCGACCTTCAGTCATTTTATTATGCAGTGCTTCAGCATCCATTGTCTACTTACAGGCTGTATCCAGTGGATAAATCACGAATAGACAGTGTGGATGATACGCATCAGCCAAGTCAGAATAAGAAGAGTGACTGATAGAGATGAGAGCCAACAATGCGAACAGCGAAATGAAGCATTTAAATTATTCTGCAAACATTCCGCATTAAATATTTTTAAAAGTTGTGAATATTGGTGCAATATAAGACTTACGGGCTGCATGTGTGGGTTATCATTTTGTGTTGTAAATTAAAACAGGCAAGTAACATCTGCTACAAATATCCTGTTCTGCTTTTTTTGTTGTCATTTATATTTTATATTGTTGAGGAAAAAGGCCTCCAATCTCATCTTCCTTCCTACACTCTTTTCCTTTTGATTTGTTGTCTGCTATTTCTTCTTGATGTCTTGCGGTATCTGGCAGAACCATCATGTTCTAGGTCATCGTGTAGGTTTCCTTAATTTTAATTTTGATCTCCTTGTTGGCATCCTTGTTTTATCCATTCTTTTTTTACATGCTACGTGTTTGTCCTTTAACAAAATTTAAATGCCAGTTTCTTATATAAAGAATTCATTTATAGTTCTGTCCCTTCTTTTTCTCCTAAGTATTTATCATACAGGGAATATTTTTAGTAACTAGATACGTTCACGGCTCTGCACTTCACCATTACCGGTGCATCATCGGCCATGAAGCACACATTATTTTTGGTGATGACTCAGCATGCTTGACAGCCAATAACATTTGGAATGAAGGAAAATAATTAACTTACAGACCCCTACACAGTGGGCAGTGCTGTTCATTTATGGGAGTTTGTTTATGATTTGTGAGCAGTCGGCAGTAGGTATCAGCACCATGAGCCATTTGTTCCCAGTTAACAGTTAGTCAGCAGTCTGGCACCACTTAGTTCGCTGAAGTTTAGAACACCTACGTGAAATATGACTCTGCTGTAAAGTGTCAGTGAAAATTTTGATGTAAATTTAGTGAGTCCCCAGTAGACAAACGATTCACAATTTGGTGAATACAATTAGAACATCGGGACTCTTAATAAACAAGAAAACAAAACATAAGCATTGAGCATTTACTGAGGAGAAGTTAGATGACACAGGGACCAGACTTGCATGTAGACCTAGAAAACCACTCAAATGTCTAGCTCAGGAGACTGGAGTGTCAACATCTAGTGCAAGAATGGCAACACAATTGCTGAAACCATCTGGTGAAAGTTGGTGTCTGGTGTGCCTAAGTGCAAGAAGGGTTGTTGTACATGTTTTTTAATGAAATGATTAATTGTGAAAGATATTTATTTGCAAAAGGATAGCATTTCCAACACTGTGATCTGTGAACAAAGGCAAGAACTTCCCCTCATTCCAAATGTTATCAGCATGCTGAGTCATCGGTAAAATTCTCGTGCGCTTTGTGGCTGGTGGTGCGTCGGCTGCAATGAAGCACAGAACCATGAAGGCGTCAAACTCATTAAAAAACACCCTGTATAATGAATATTAAGTTATATGGTACAACATTGTTTAGTTCATTATGGGAACTATTTTATTTTCTCAATAACAGCAATGTTTTTTTTATTTATTTATTTATCTTGCAGTAATATAATATGCATATAGCTTGAAACAGTACTGTATATGAGGTGTAGCAAGGTAGAAAACCAGGCTTCATGAGATGGTCTTTCCCGTCTTTCTAATGCATTGTAACATACTTTATACCAACTTGCTGGTTGTGTCATATGACACTATGCATAAGAAGTCTTGAGTGATCTCTTCTGCTAGAGTAGAACAGAAGTCTCAGTAGACTGTTCCATCTCCTGAGTGCAATGGGAAATACGTGAACAGAATATGAGAGCAGTTTGATATAACATGTTATGTTTTGCTATCATTGAGGAAGTTAAGGCAGTCTTCATATTGTCATGATGTAAATGTATCTTGTGTCGCAACTATGATATATGAAGGCAGTAAGACAATATTCATATTATGATAGAAACATTTGATATAATAGCAGTGAAATAATGGATATTGATGTTGAGGATGATGTGTATGATGATGTGAATATGGGTAAAGTTTGTGGCCTTGAATGGTTATGTTTACTGTGATTCTAATATGCATATATTATTTGAATGATGACTCACACATGTTCATAGACTCAATGGTGGTTCAGGAGTGGAGGGGACTGATTGTTGTGAGGAGGAACTACAAATTTTTGTATGTAAAGCAAATTATTTTAGTCCTCATATGTATTTATCATAAGTAAACAAATACACTTTGAAGCTTCAACAAGTGCTTGACCCCCACATAAATCACCATTGCATTAGCTAAATTTATATATTTTCCTCCACATTTTTCTGCAGATGTGGATGTGATTATGACAACGCTTATTGATTAATTTTGCACTGTTTGTTAACTTGTTTGCAACATTTAGATTTTAACTTGTTATTTGGATGGTAGAAACAAATATTGATCATGTAATTGTTGGCATTTGTCTATGTAAACCGATTTAATGAACAGATTGTTTAAATATGTTTCCATCAAACAACAACTTTTAATACATCAGCAGAATTCAACTGTATGTGCTACAAGTCAAGCGAATCACTTATATGAAGTTCCCCCCCCCCAAAAAAAAAAATTATGCAGCTGTGTAATATAATGACATTACTTTGGTAGACTGTATTTGACTCTGAACTGGTAACCATAAATAAGATTAAATTTAGTGACCAGTTAGAGGCCTTCTGCCACCTAAAAGGGCACCTTTTCAAACTGGGACTGACAGGTGATCCAACTTGTGAAAGGTGCCTACAAGAAGATGAATCAGCCACACATATCTTATGTGATTGTGAGGCTATAGCTTACCTAAGATATCACCACCTGGTTCAGTTCTTCATGGAACCAAGTGACTTTTTTGATGCCTCCATAAAGTCCTACATTTCATTCAAAGTGTAGGATTAATAAAGGGTTAATCCAAAGGGGAAGCACAATAGATCATTGAAGGTCGCAGTGTGAGGGCCGGTTTTTATGGCTCACCCCTCATACTCATACTCATAGAGGCCTTAGGTTAGAATAGGTGTGTTAGCACTAGGAATTCTAATTAAAACAAAATTCAGAAATGATTATCATTGGAGACTATTGTAAATTTGTTCCAAAATTTTTTATCTGATAGTACCTAACTATCTTGAAGGTAGGATGACTTTCCTTGTAAAATATTCAAATTATTGGAAAAACAGTGATGAGTCAGATACATTAGTACTGTCCTAGAGAAAGACTAATGAGATTTATTCATGTTCTTGTTCTGGTGTTAACTGATTGACATACTTTGACCTCTGAAATATTGCTGAATGAATGTCAAAAATATTTTACGTATTGCACAACAGGTGTTGTCTGCCTGCAAACAGAGTTCTGTGATAATTCTGGGCTATTTACTTTGATATGTTGAAAATAATTTTAAGTAGGTACGAAATATGAAAATGAAATAGTATGATAATGGATTAAAATGCTTTAACGGATACAATGATAATAAGTATACTATGTTCATGTTTTACTTCTTCACTTCACCTGTACATGAACAGTTACATTGTTGTATATATTACAAATGATACTCAGCATTACAGCGAATATGCATGAAAGATATGATGGCCTACCTGTGCGATTGATACCAATGCCTCATTGAGTGTTTTTTACTGCTCAATATGTAAACAGTCACCTTAGTTAAGTATTCTGCCTTGTTTGTAGTCATTTTTCAGATGGTAGATTATGAAGAGAACCTCAGCTTCAAATTCAGAGAAAAAAATAATGAGTATTACAGAATATTTGTTTATATGAAGCATTATTTATCTTCATTCCTTATGTTATATGGATAATATTGCAGTGACTAGTGGCAACAGAATAATGTGTGCTGTAGCTGTTGTGATGTATAGAATGTGTAAATTAGAGAGGTCATTACAATCTTTTGTAGTAACAAGCTACAAGCATCCAGTAAGTCCAGTGATGAATCAAGATTTCTCTGTCTAGTCACTAACACGTGACAGCTGGTGTCAGAGGTGGAATTGAATTGAATTGTTGGTCTTATTTTGTTGTGTATTTTTGGATTGAAACCCACTTGACAGATAATCATGATGGACTTTGAACATGTGGTAGCCATCATGGAAAAGCTGGAAGCCAATAAGGAAAGATGGAGGCCATTGAAGAAAAATGTGGTGGCCACTCATGTGCAGATGGAGGCTAAGATGGACACTGCCATGAGCACCAGCTAAGAAGTGATGAAGGCCACAATAAAGACTGACCAGGAAAAGATGGAGGTCTGTCAAGAAGAAATTAAGGCAGGCTTGGAAGGAATGAAAGCCGCTAAAGAAGAAATCAAGGCCCGAGGGAGGGCCAGCCAAGAAAAGATGGAAGCCACAATAACTCCATTGGAACCAAATTGGAAAAGACCATCAAAAATTGGATGGAAGACGCCCTGGCCTTTGTGAGGAACTGAAAAAGTGGAGCTGGGGTTACAAGCATCCCTTGATATGTGGATCTGAAGCCTTCATGAGGAGACAGTAGACACATAAGTACCTTCACAAAAAGCTCAACCTCAGGATCCAAGGAACATAGGCTGAAATAGAAATGTATAAATGTAAATAGAATATAGTTTCAGAATGCATCAAGGAGAAGTCGAAGCCAGAACTGAACTATCCGAGAGAGACCTGCTCATGTTGTATGCCCTGCAAACAGCGTCATGGGAGACCCTCCTAATCTTGAAGGAAGCTTTCATGAAACTGACTCTTGGAAGGGGGGGCAGTGATAACTTGTGTGTTCACCGCCAGTATCACTGATGAGTTCGTCCAAGGATTTCAGCTGCCATGTGCTATGAGGAAGTGCCATTGTGGTGCCCTGGGAAGCAACCATATTCAGCCTCCTGTATGAAGGGCAACATCTGGGTAGCAGGTTCTTAGTGTGATAAGAGTTGTTGCGGTGTGGTGGGAATGACTCCTTGAGGTAGTGGGTAGCCTTGCAGGGACCAGATCCAGGGCTGCCCATCAAACTGAAAGAGAAGACCAATCCAACCCTGAAGGGAGGTGCCTGGAACAATGATTGGACCCACCAGTCACAGAAGAAAATAGAGGGATGCATGCCCTTAAAAGGACCATGGTGCTGGAGGTGAGCAGCACAAGGCCCAGCCCACGAGGAATGAACGATGTATGCCATTGAAACCAGAAGCAGAAGCAGTGGGGCCAACATAATATGGAGGTGCAGTTCATGAAGGCAATCACTGGCATGTACCCATGGAGAATAAGACATGGCGATACACCTGTATGCTGTTTGGGATGAACAGCCTTGAGAGGGAGCAATGTAACATGATGGTTGAAAGCTGGAATAGTGGAAGAAGTAAAGGCAGTCATTGCTACGAAGTGATACAGTAAACACGTTTCTGCTGCTACAACAGAGGATGTGGTGTTTTCTGCGCACTCCGCATCAACAGTGTATGACGGGCAAGCAGCAGTGACCTGGATGCTGTGAAATCTAAGATATACTCGTGCTGAAACTACAGTGCAACAAATGTAGCGCCTGCATGGAAAGACTGAGTCACTCCTTTGTTGAAGGGGATGCCCCATTTCGAAACACATACATATGTAGGAGATAACAGATATGTTGGTCATGGATCTCAAGGAGACCTGAAGCGAGAAATGACTGTGCTGGAGAGGATCAGCAGCAATCTAACTGACCAGCAGACCAGAGCCTTCAGAACTCCTCACTGAATGGACTGTCACAGTCAAAGTTACTTTATGACTGGGGGTTTACCACCAGTTACTTTCGTCTTGGTGCCAAGCCCCTTGAGGATCATGACCAGAGATTTTTTTTTCAACTGAATCCTTAAGGTCTTATAACTTACATTACATCCTCTCTGACAAGAGGATGGGTTTGTCTCTTAAGAATATGCCTGGCCTTTTGTCAAGTGTACGTATCGCATATACGGCATGTTATTGAAAATTCTTCCTTTTGCACTATACAGGGTGTCCCAGGAGGAATGTGCCAAACTTCGGGAGGGTGTTCCTTATGTTAAAGTATGCCGATATAACCCAAAACACCTATGTCCAAAGTTGAACGGTTACGGAGATAATGGCCCGAGAAAAGTGTGGTCTTCTTGCAGGTCCACGCACTATACGTACCTGTCAGCTGAGACCCTTATCTGTTTGTCCTTGAGTGCCGCGAGTCACACTAGCGTAAGCTCATGCGCTGCCTACAGATTACGTTGCGGCGGGGTCGTGAATGGGTGGTAAATTAGTTGTGTGATGAGTTGCTGAAATGCCTTTTGTGTTTTCACACGTCGAGTATTGTGATATGCATTTTGTGTATGGATTTTGCGGTGGCAATGCACGTGCTGCTGTTGAAGAGTACCAAAGGCGTTTTCCCGATCGAAGGATTCCATCTCGAAGTGTATTTACGCGAATTCACCAGACATTGCGTGAGACTGGTTCTCTTCCGAGTGTTTCTGTGCAGTCGGAAAGGGAGGATGTACAAATGAGAAACACACGAGAGAACATTCTTCGCATGATTGATAGAAGTCCGCGTCTCTCCACTCGTAGAATGGCCTCTCGCATCGGCGTATCACGTATGCAGGTGTGGCGAACTTTACATGACGAAGACCTGTATCCTTACCATGATCAAAGGGTACAACATCTGGAACCAGGCGACCATGCTCAGCGTATGGATTTCTGCCACTGGATAAAAGCTCATCCCGAACTGTTAAGCGTCATTTTATTCAGTGATGAGGCGTCGTTTACCCGGGACGGTGTAAATAATTTACGAAATATTCATACGTGGTCCCATAATAATCCACATGAGATAATGGAAACGAAATTCCAAAAGAGATTTTCTGTGAATGTATGGTGTGGTGTGCTTGGGAACAGGTTGATCGGACCTTTTGTGTTTCACAACAATTTAACTGGAAACACGTATGGAGCCTTCCTAAGGAATGAGTTACCATGTTTGTTGGAAGACATCCCGTTAACGATAAGGAGGAAAATGTACTTCCAACATGATGGGGCTCCTCCACATTATACTCAGCACGTGAGACACTACTTAGATGAATCCTTCCCTAACCGCTGGATAGGTCGTGGTGGTCCCATTGCATGGCCACCGAGGTCGCCAGATCTTACGCCTCTAGATTATTACCTCTGGGGCCACATGAAGACCTTAGTCTACGAAACTAAGGTCGATTCCCGAGAAGCACTGCGGAATCGTATTTTTGCAGCGGCAGAGCACATACGTCACCATTCAGGCAACATTGCTTCTGCTACCCAATCCCTCATGATGCGTGCCGAAAACTGCATTGCAGCTGGCGGAGGACACTTTGAACAATTACTATAAAGCAGGTACTGTATTTTAATACTTATGTAGTTGGCTTATAGCAGAATATGCAGTCAGTCATGTTACACCAGCGCTTGCCATTCATGTGTCATGTGTAGTGATGAGGCGTCTTTTACCCTGGACGGTGTAAATAATTTACGAAATGTGCATACGTGGTCCCATAATAATCCACATGAGATAATGGAAACGAAATTCCAAAAGAGATTATCCGTGAATGTAGGTATAATAAGAGTTATGTGGTCGGCTCATAGCGCAGCCATATTACGTCATCGCACGCCAGTCATGTGTTATGTATACTGCTTGGAAACCTAAGGACAATTATGACATGGCGAGCGAGTATTTTGTACTTCAATTTTATGGCTTTCCGTCACTCACAAGTTGGTTTGATGTTACGTACATTATTAACATTACAGAATCCACATATTCCTGCCAGTTTTAATATCTATTTTGTAATCAACAAGTGTGTAACCCCGGTCAAAGTTTGACACTTCTCTGGCCATTATCTCCGTAACCGTTCAACTTTGGACATAGGTGTTTTGGGTTATATCGGCATACTTTAACATAAGGAACACCCTCCCGAAGTTTGGCACATTCCTCCTGGGACACCCTGTATACAGGTCTTCCTGTCAGTTCAGGCTTTGCAAAGCAGCTGATGCCAATCTTACTTCTCTTTGAATGGACTGCTGCTGGTGGTCCTCTGTGTATAGTCTTGGCAAGGACCACATATAAAACACCACTTCAATCAGTTCCTCTGTTGTTTCTTGCTTAATCTTTGCTGCCAAAAAGTGTTGACTGCGCCGTTGTCTACTAGCCGCTGTCTCTTTTCCAGTTCTGGCATGCAGCTGTCATGTCACAATATGTTTGTAATCGAAATGGATAATAATTAAAGTTTTCCTCTTTTGAGAGTTAACATTCTAATGCACTTTTCATGTGTTGGCAACCAGTGTAGTTTTTGTTTTCGGCGTTTCCTGTGTATTGACATTCTTGACAGTAGATGAAATTGCCCTTTTTATACAGATTTTTGGTGCAGGTGTGTTGCCACTGGCCCATGTTTGTTTGCTGTAATATACATATAATTTTATGTGTTGCGAGGGTGAGTCCAAGGTTAACATGGACATCATTTTTTTCTGAAGCCATGGGTACCAAAAAATAAAACCCTTTTATTGAACAGTTGGCGGCAACACTGCACTCACTGCCTGGAAGGTGGCCATGCTCCCCACTTCTGCATGATACAAGGTGGTTCAAATATGACCGGGACTGATTTTTTTTTAAACCGTAATTGCCAAACACTTACTTGCACATGTCAGTCTTCAGTGTACTCCCCTCCGGAGTCAACACATTTTTTCAAACATTCTGGAAGTATCCTGATGCCCTTTTCCCAAAAGGCTTGTGGTTGGCGGCGTATCCACTCCCAAACTGTCTGGATGACGGCGTTTTCCACAAACCGCATGTCTTGCAAGTCTGATTTGAGCCTTCCGAACAGGTAGAAATCACTTGGTGCCAAATCAGGACTGTACAGCGGACGTGTCAGAAGGTTCCATCTCAATTTCTGGAGGGTTTCCATTGTTGTTTTGGCCGTATGGGGGCGTGCATTGTCTTGAAGGAAGGCTACCCGCTTTCCACCTGTCTTCCACTTGGATCGAATCTTTTCCTTCACGTCTGTTGCCAGGAGGTCTGAGTAATAAGCTGCATTGACTGTTCTGGCATCTGTCAGAAAGTCTACAAGGATAACCCTCTGCCAGTCCCAGAAGAACGTTGCCATCACTTTTCCTGCCGGATGGCTCCTCCGTGCTCTCTTGGGTTTGGGAGAAGTGGTATGCCGCCACTCGCATGATGACAGCTGGGACTCGGGAATGAAGTATTGCACCCACGTTTCATCGGTGGTCACTATAGACTTCAAAAATGCATCACCTTTATCTTCAAACTGCTGTAGGAGACGACTGGCAGCTCGCATGCGCACCATATTGTTCACGTCCGTAAAAGTGTGTGGTACCCACCGTGCATTTACCTTGTGATAGTGCAGGTGGTATTTCACGATGTCTTCTACACTACCAACACTGATGGACAGCATTGCTCCAAGTTCCTTGATAGGTATATGCCTGTTCTCACGGATAAGTGCGTCTGCACTTCTGCCTTCTGCCTTCTTGGCCCTTGCACCGCGACCTACAGTGATGTATTGTGCTTATCATCAGATACATAGTAAAACAGAAACTGAAACCAGCAGAAATTCTTAGTAGGTTAAATTCACATAAGGAAGAGTTCATTTCACATGTAGATCTCTGTGATCTGGTGCAGTAAGATTTCTGAAGGCCCAAACGATTCAAGACACACATTACCTGGAAAGATCACTGACAGTGTGTTATGGAATTCAGAAGAAGTGATTCATGTTATTTTCTTCCACATGGTGTAACAATTGGTGCACAGTATTACACTCACTTGCTTCACAATGTTGTCCACCAAGCAGTATGGCAGATTTGATTGGCAACAGTGGGCTGAGAAATCATGAATCACCCTCCTTGCAGCCTTGACTTAGCCTCCAATGGTTTAATTTGTTTGGACCATTGAAGGTGCACCTCAGTGGACAGAAATTTCAAACTGATGAACTCAACTGCAGCGTCCCAAACTGCCTACACAAACATGATAAAACATTTTAGGCTACTGACATTAGTAACTTGCCAGCTCAATGAAGAAATTTTAGTCTAAAGGAATGAGAGTTTGACTGCACTGGCATGTATATTCTTAAAAAAAAAAATAAAATCCAGGTCAGCCATGAACAGTCGTTCTGTTGTTGACATGTAATATCAGCATTAAAAAAATCGTAACATTTTTTAACTTTCAAAGAGCAATTTCATGCACAGATTGACACAAGGTGGTCTGATGGGCCGACACAATGTAATCTAACTTAGTGTGATCCAAAATTCCCACTTCTCATCAAATACACAGCATGATGTGCAATGATCTGGTGCACAAACATAACCTATCCTAACATTACTCAATCTCACCAGATCCTCAGAGATGAATGTTGGTGTAATGCTTGAGCCGAATGTAGTTAACACAGTTATGTGTAACACATCACAAGCTCGTTTGCCCGTCGTGTTATTTGTGATTATACAACATTGAATGGCATAATCTTAATTCTTCATTTTGTGAAAGGTGGTGAAGTGGTTCAAATTTGAATGTGGGGTGTACGAAGGCAGACAATTTGTAGAAAGCATGTAGACATCATACTTCCGGTAAAGGGAAGCAATTTGAGTCAAAATTTTTGAACGCAATAGAGTATCAAATTAGTATTAGATCTGTCTGTTAATCGGCATTTGATTGAAGGATGTATGCTGTAATATTGTACAAGATTAATATTTCTGTAACCAGAAGATGGTATATACGGATCCACAAGATGGCCTACCAGTATTTGGGACGGATCAAGCTGACAGTGCAGTATTTTTTAGCTGATTATGCGTGTGGGGAACATTTGTTAAGTGTAAGGGCATATTCACATCGAAGGTATCTGTCTAATCATAGGATGTGACATTCTTTCAAATATGCAACTTCAACACGAACTGTGATGTTGATTACTCTACAACACATATCCTCAGTTACCTCATTTCAGTTCTGAATGAGCAGTGCTCTCAATTCCATTACTGTTTGCGGCTTTTTTGGAAAAATCTTTTCCTTAAGGAATAAGGACAAAATCATGACATAATGGAGCCTTTGAAAATATGGCAGAGCTCAAATATTTTGGAAAAACGGTAACAAATCAAAGTTTGATTCATGAGGAAATTAAGAGCAGATTGAACTGGGTAAATTTTGCTGCCATTCAGTTCAGAGCATTTTGTTGAAATGGGGCAATGATTGATAGCATTTAGTACAGACCTTGTATTCTCATCTGTTGTCTAAAAACGTAAAAATTACAATATACAAAACTATCACTTTGCATGCAGTTTTGTATTGGCATAAAGCTGGTCCTCTTACATTATGGGAGGTACACAGACTGAGGATGTTTGAGAACAGGGTGTTGAGAATATTTTGACCAAGAGGGATGAAGTGATAGGAGGCTGGAGAAAAATATTTTGACCAAGAGGGATGAAGTGATAGGAGGCTGGAGAAAACTGCCCAATGAGGAGGCTCCATAACTTGCACTTTTCATCAAGTCAAGGAGGATGAGATGGGCAGGTAATGTAGCACGCATGGGGGAGAGGAGGAATGCACATAGGATCTTGGTGGGAAACCAGAATGAAAAATACCACTAAGAAGACCTAGACATTGGTTGGAGGATAATATTAGAATGGATAGATAGGATGGGGTGGTATGGACTAATTGATTTGGCTGAGGATAGGAACCAGTGGAGAGCTCTTGTGAACACGATAATAAACATTTGGGTTACATAAAATGCTGGGAAATTTTTGAATAGCTGCACAACTGGCGGCTTCTAAAAAAGGGCTCAGTTCTATGGAGTTAGTTAAAGGTTTCACATTAAAAACTATTTTTAGAATGATAAATTTAGAATATAAGCTGAACTAGACCAGGTCGTGTTATGGGGACATTGTTACATGAAGATTAAAATGCATGTGTGTAAACTGGAATTTGAACCTTGGTACTTACTACGTTATCTCTTAATTTATAGGCGCACCTGTCATGTAGTTATATTATCATATCACATTAATATAATTTTGTGTAAAAAGTAATTAAAACGTGTCTCTACCTTTCATTTCAACATTTCAGACGATAAGAATGACACTTTGGATTATATTTGACAAGATGATAAGTGTATATTGAATCAACTCATCTAATCTGTTCTGAGAAGATAACAGTTCCTGCTGCCTATGCTTCAGTAAACTTTACTTGCCATTTAGATTCCGCTGAGAAGAATAATGCGCTTCAAGTTTGCGTAGTGTCCGCAATTGAAAGGTTGGTGCAGTATCAAGGTGTTCATATATGTTCTTATTCCTAATAGAGGTATTTCTCGATTTAATTCATATTTATTTTCTCATTACTTTACATGAAAAACTTACCAGCTCGTTCACGAATCCCAGGAAAAAGAAAACAAAATTGATAACATATGAACATGTTTTAATAGTAAATAAGCAATAAAATAAGGACATTGTTACTTGTTTATGGTATTTTTAATATTATAAATAAAACTTATTTTGTTCACGTTTATTTCCTCGTAGCTTTTGTATTGTAACTCTGTAGCTTCGTTGGCCGCACCATAGCTCAAGCGGTTAGTCGCTGGCTTCCCACCGCGGCGGCCCGGATTCGATCCCGTGTCTGGTCAAGTGGGATTTGTAGTGGACAGAGTGGCGCTGGGGCGGCTTTTCTCCGAGTACTTTGGTTTTCCCTGCCAATCTTTATTCCGCCAAATTCTCCATCATCATAATCACCTGGGGCAGGTACAGTTGGGCAATTAGTGGCCGTCGTGCCGAGTGGACCCAGTTGGATTCCGCCCCCCACTAAGTGAATTTAAAGAAAAAAATTTTGTATATTTCGTTATATTGTGAACGAAGCCTCTCAACCGCGCGGTATCTGTGAAACAAACATAGACTACCTGTCGGCATGGTAGCAGCAGCACTAAACGCAGGTCTACCGACCTCAAAAGGCGATGACGTGCGCGCTAGAAGCTGAATGGTTGGACAGTAATCATGACAAATGCAATACGCAAATGTTACAGAGAGAAACATGTCCCCACCTCTACATTTGTTGTGTACCTATTTCTCCACCTTCGGGCGGAAGAGGGGGGGGGGGCTTGGGAACATATAGCTGTTTGTTGAAGCGAAAATGTAGTTAAGTGAAAAACAGCTACAAAATTAGCACGCTTCGTTGTAGTGAGAGTTCCTAAAACGAGGGATACGCGTGTACTACAATGAAATGTACTTCGTACTGATGATTTTAATCGAAAGTTGCCAGGGAAAGTTTTTTTTTTAGATTACTTTCCTAAATTTGGTTTATGTGTTCTCCTTCCTGTGTGTCTGTGTACCCCCACCCCCATCATCTTTTGAATAACTAACCCAATCTTTACTGGGCACGCGGTAGAGTAGTGGTTGAGGCACTATGCTACAAGTCGGAAGGTCGCGGGTTGAAATCACGGGGTCATTGGATTTTTTTTTTTTCAGAATGCCCTAACAACAAAGGACGAAAAGACACTCCATAAGTAGAAAAATAAGGTATAAACCACATCGAACCAGAGAATACCGCACACCCATAACAAAAAAAAAAAAAAAAAGAAACCTAAACCTTCCAGGCGCACTATGGCCCTGGGGTTCACTCAGCCTCTAACAGAAATGAGTACCAGAAATTAATTAAATAATTTTCCTGGGAGTAAAGCGCGGCCGGCTCATAAGGCTGACAACACTACCGCCATCTTTGAGCCGATTGTCTAGATAATGTGGGACCCTCAACGGCCCACAACCCTATGGGCCTTCACGGCCTGGTACAGGGATAGCTTTACTTTTACTTACCCAATCTTTACTAAACTTGGTGTATACATCATGCCACCTCAGCCTTCATCATTGGCATACTTCATAAATCCCTCCCATCAGTCTGTCTGTAGATATGTGTGTCCCCATAACTTTGTTACGCAACGGCTCGGTAAACACTTTTCCGCGGCAAAGAATACACGAAACAAAGAAAAACTGTTCGAAGCATCACTTTCAATGTGGTCGGTGTAGTATCGATGGTGATTCTGTGGCTTCGTCTGTTCACCCCCTTCCCGCACCCCCCCATTATCGTGCTCAGATCGTACTTGGCAGCTAGGAAGCGGCTCGGTGTACAAGGGAAACTTGTTCCCGCGGTAGTACTGACAGTACGAGGTTGGAGGATCGGTGATCAGAGAGTTTAGAGTATTCGGGGAGGGACACGATATTTTACCCGAATGACCAGGATGTCTCTACCCAAGTGACAGCGAAAGGAACGTGAGAGGTGGAAGTGTAACATCCATTGTGCACCACGAGCAAGAGGATGGGAACTCGCTAGAAACGTCTGTTAAGGCAACGGCCTGTGAATGCATGCCCTCTATGAACTTCCATTAATTTATCTGGATTTTTTGTGTGTGGGGGGGGGGGAATCTTAGGCCAACAAAATAGAAACAGATTATAAATTTGTTAATCTGACTTACGCCACACTAAATGCAAACAAATTAAAAATTGATCAAACAACTTTTTAAACGTTGAGGTTACGTTTGGGCCCAAGTGGTCCATAGGAATTTGCAGACTTCGCCATAAGGAGTGATGTCTGGTTATAGTGTGAATAATTGAATTTCCCTGATGCAGTGTACTGAATTCTGTAATGAAATTTGTAATTTTGAGAAAAACCAAGTGCATCCCATCTCAATTTTATGGAGGTGGTGCATCAGACAGACTATCATCTGGTGGTACAGTTACCATTAATAGGAAACAGATTTACTCCTGTTCACAAGTACGAGTACTATAGAGACAAGTTCAGTTTTCATTCTGCTGGTTTAGAGAATAAGCAAAAGTTAAATGTAAAGCTGTCCCAGTGTTTAATTAATTAAGCAGAAACCCATGAAGATATATTGGGAGGGGTTGGAGGTAGATCTCCACCGCTCTTGACCTAAGCATTAGATGGAGGTGAGTGGTCAGCTTCATGCCCAAGCCTCTTTACACATGGGGAAAGAGCACCTAGTACCCACTGAAAGGGAGGCTGGGTGGGCATTGGACCTAGTTTGGATATCGTGAAGTAGACAAAAATCTCTTGCCCCTGCCAAGAATAGAACCCCAGGCACCTAGGCTGTGGCCTGTTGCTAAACTGACTGGGCTTTTGAAGATACACCACAAGTGAATTTACTGTAACTCCAACAATACAGAAATTTCTTAAATATTTTCTGGCTTATATAAAGAAACATCTTGAGCTTTTTGTGTATAGTTATGCCATAGTTAATTGTTCATATGGGCCAGTATAGTTCAGTTATAAAGGAACTGGCCAAGGGCACAACAACTTCTTTCACTGCTGTGTACTGACTGACTCTGATATCTACCCATCCTCCTTCCAATTCATACCTTGAATGAAGGATTAAATAGCTGAAGTGAGAAGCTAACCACCTATCTTCATCTAGAGCCCAGATCTATAATGCTTTACTTAATGCTTTAATATTAAAGAGTTTAGTCACAACAGGGGTTAAAATGAGCTTGAAGCATAAGCACATGCAGTGGAAGGGAATAGTATTTATATTTGCCTAAGGAGTAGCATTGAATTAATTTCTTATTCTGTTTAGGAAGAATGGAAGAGCCTTCACAGAAGATACTGGATTTTCTGAAGAATGTGGCCCTGTTCACCTGTCCACTAGTTGCATATGTCTTGCTATTTAAAAGCACACAAAGAGCCGGACGTCAGCAAGGTTACTACAGCATACCAGGTATGTGTATTAACCAAGTGTCACTTAAGGCTACCTCTCTGTATTTACCTTCAACTTTTACATATTAAGCATTCTTTACAAATTAGAAGAGGATGCCTCATGTGGAGGTCATGTCAGTTCATATTTCTGCAACATGGTATCAGCACATAAACCACTGGACAGATTGTTAAAAAAAATTGACATGAGAGGCTTTAATTAAAAGACGTTAGGCAATTATAGTTTTCAGCCATGTTGGTCCATATGAAAATCTACTTTATATGAGGTCATAAATAGTCTCGCATATATCATAAAATGTTAATAAAATTGCAATAAAATTCGTTATGAGAGATCTTTGAATAATATTAGTCAGCCATAAGGACTGATTACAAAGTCCACTTTACATATGCCTGTAAATGGATTTTTCCATGCACCATGTCCCATAAATCATTTCACAGATATTTGTTATAATTAGATATTGTGTATTATTTGCTGTCCTAAACAGGTTGGTATAGTAGTAATGATCTAGAAATGTACCTTCAGTGTGCTTGGTTCAAATCTTTACTAGAATGCTGGCTACACTGACTAAGGCTTTTCATAGTTTTCTTCAGTCCTTCAGGCAGATACCAGTGTAGTACCTCAATTAGGGCACAAGCACTTCCTTTTGGATCCTTTCCAATTCATTCATCTACCATCCTGCCAGTCAATACTATATATAGTCTGCAAAAACTGAAATCATTGTAAAATATATCATCAACGAAGCAGAAGAAAATATTTCTTCTAGTTTCTATCTAATATATCCTGTCTGCTGAAATTCCACGCGTAAACTGAAAACGAGCACCTTCTCTAATTTAGTGCACTGTGTTACAGGATACACTCCAGAAGATAATCAAAATGCCATACATACAATTTTTTTAAGGAAAACCTGAAGGGTTCTAAGAATCCCCACATAATAATATAATTACTCAAAGTAAAAGTGATATGTTTAGTCAATTTCTTCACATCTCTAATTGGCATTAGTTCATAAAGCTATAAGGAACTGGGATAACTCAGTTGGTATAGGAAGAAACTAATGGCTGGGTTGCTGGGGTTCTATTTTTCTGTTCACCACTCTATCCATATTTGCTCTGAAACCCACCCAGCCTCCCATCCACTGGGTACCGGGGGTTCTTTCCTTAGCGGCATGAAGCTGACCACTCATCTCCATGTAGTGGCAAAGTCAAGAAAAGTGGCGCTACTCTCCACACACTCACACATCTTCATGGTGTGGTGCTTAATTAATTAAAAGAGACAGCTTAACCGTTTACACTTAACACTTATAATGTGGCTGTCTAAAATACTGTAAATTTTTACAGCACTGATATATGGAATTTAATGAATCAGTATAGTAATCCCTTGCTACGAGTTTCTCTTAATATTTCATAATATCTGGGTGCATGTATCACCATTACAGGCTGGAATTTTTTCCTGAAGAAATGGTGGGTGCAGTGGAAATTGAGGCAGTTGCAGCCACAGCCGCAGCTTCAGTCTCCACTTGCTGCTTTTATAGTAAGCCAGGGGGATGAAGACAGAGAGAAGCTCCAGACACTTGTGAAGGAGCACGAGGTACAGTAACAAATTTGACTCTCTGTTATCTCCAGTGATTATGTTCAATTCCGATACAGTTTATAAATCATCATTCATTATGTCAGGAACCTGAAAATACTTTTGCAACTCAACAGACTTCACTGAGAGTCAACAAAAGCAAACAAAAAACAAACTCCGTGACCTGTAGTCCGCAAGCGAAGTATACCAACTGAGCAACTGCCGCTTTTTAGAGAAGTTAGTGCCAACTTCAGCAGATAAAGGGTGTCGCATGGTCAGTGCAATGGATCCCCATGGCCATTAATCTCGGTTATCTAGACCAGAGCCACTCTTTCCTTGAAATAGCTCCTCAGTTATCCTCATCAGACTGATTGGACCCTGTTCCAGACCCACTACTTCTCAGAAAATCTGGTAGCGCTGGGAATCAAATCCAGGAACTGTGACCACTAGACCACACAAGTGGTCGTTCTTAACTAATAGTCACTGATTGTAATTAATCTGAACATGATAACAGCACAAAAATTTTCCAGTAAAGCAACCCTGAATAGAATTATAGAAAGAGTACTCAGGAGTTTTCTAGTTAGAATCTCACTACTCAGTGAAAATTAGAGGTCGTAAAAATTGTTAAAGAGGTGAAGCGTTCTTCAGAATTGGCTATAAAATAGATTCACCTTTACAGTGCAGTAACCAGCCTCTGAGTTAAGGTTTGATTTCAATCTGTTACACTTCACACCAAGTCAGTCTCTCACATAATCACCTGACCTAGTAGAGATTCATCTAACAGGATTTGACAATTACATAAATGAACTGGGGAGCAACATATCTCAGTCAGTATATCAACCAGGCTGTGGGTTAGACACTCAAGGAACTGAGGTTAGATTCTTGGCTGGGACAAGCATCCAGATTGACTCGGGCCTGCTCAGCCTCCTATCCACTGCATAGTGTGGTCGTTTTCTCTGGTAAAATGGCAGTGACATGAAACTGACCACTCACCTCTGTCTAGTGACAAGGTTAGAAATGGTGGTGCTATACCTCCACCTCCCTTATGTCTTCATGGTGTAGTCCTTAATTTATTAATTATGCACAGGAATAAATTTACTTTCATGTTAATGCTGTGGGTGTACCAGTAATTCTAAATAAGACCAATCCAATGACTTCTTGGTTTTGAAAACACGAAAAAGTCACATGAGGTTGAATTATGCAAGAATGGCGAATGTTCCAAAACTGGTTCTTGTTTCCTGGCCAGACATTGCCATACTAAATATAATGTGTGGGAAGAAGCATTTATATGATGCAAAATCTATTTGCCCACCTAAAGGTTCGGTCTTCATAGATGAGCACATTACTGTATACATTCCAAAACTTGAAGATAGAGTTTTCTGTCGACGGCTTGCTTTGGAGAAAGAAATTTGCAATGAATATCTCCTTTCATACCAAAAAAGTAGAAACTTTGACCTTTCACTTTGATTCTAGACTTTATCGTTTGAAACTTTGAAATCTTGTTCCTGGTTTCTTACTGGGAGACAGAAGTCACTTTTCTCCATTAGGTTTGGTTCTTCTAACAGATTTGCTAAATATCAGGCAAAATGTATTCCTTACATTTTGCTTGATAATGATTTTTATTATTTTGGCACAAACTTTCTTCATGTTCAAGTTATTGTTCAAAATAATGTCACAGTTTCTCTTTTCATGTTAATTTCTTCTTCTACCTTCTAAATAATCAATTAACAATCAACATTTCCCATCATTTTTGCGACTTTTCCACGTTTTGATCAGTTCCTTAGGTTTAGATTTATTTAGGTTATGACATGCAGTCTCGTAGGTTATATACTGTAAAAGAAACCTGTTGTCCCCATTTCCTAACCTGAAGGTGGAATCAACTACAAGACTACATGATATAACCACTTAGAAGGTCACAGTCTAAATCTTCACCACCATGAAAACTCAAATCTTGTATAGTTCTTGAAGTTGATGGGCAGCTGGGATTTTCCCTCTAGGCTCCAAAATGTATTTACCCGCACAAAAGTTGTATGATACTTATTGATTCCTCTATTGAATGTTAGTGGAATATTTCTCCAAACTTTAAGAATGAAACATTGACTGTCTAATCTAAATATTTATCACTCATGAGACTTCATCAATGAAACACTTACTGCAGTCACAAAAAAAATTGTAACAGAACTTATGAATTATGTTGTCCAGTGATCCAAAACATGCTCTCTCACCAGCTGCTCCAGGTATACATCATTCCAATTACTGAATCATCAGATAGTGCATTTGCACAGTCACTAAATTCAGATTCTTTGTGGTTATTAGGCCTAGCACAAAACATTCTAATGCATTCAGTCACCATGTAGCAAATGTTACCTTCATATATAATGTATAAGTATGAAGCAAGGGGGCATGCGGTAGTGTAGTTGGTTGAGGCACTATGCTACAAGCCAGGAGGTCATGGGTTCAAGTCCTGATGAGGTCATTGGATTTTTTCAATTAACCTAATCCTTCCAGCAGCACTATGGCCCTGGGGTTGACTCAGCCTCTAACAGAAATGTGTACCATGAATATTCTTGGGAGTAAAGGGCGGCTGGCATGTAAGGCTGACAACCTTGCCACCATCTATGGACCAACTGTCTAGAGAAAATGTGGGAACCTCAGCATCTCACAACCCTATGGTCCTCCACGGCCTGTTATAGAGATACCTTTACTATGACTTTACTTACTTAAGTATGAAGCAAGAAAATTATGTTCTATAGATAATCAAAATTTTTTAGTTACTATTTTGTTATTGTTGATATTAGACTATTTAATGGTGTTGCTTTAACTACGCATGTTGCATAGTGTTAAATTTTGTAGGAAGAGAGTCATGCATGTTAAGTGGTAAGAATATTGACAGAAGCAGTCAGAACTTATTTCAAGGTATTGTTCTGGCATTTACCTGTAGACAGCAATGGAAACAATGAGGAACTGCAATTAGAATAGCTGATAGGCCAGCTGAGATCAAATTATATATCTCTGTAAAAAAAGTATAGCATTACGGCTACAGTGCTCCTTCGTAGTTAATCCTTTCGTTGAAGATTATTGCATTCGGGGATGTGACACTTCATAATTTAGTTGATAGGTAGATCTTCTGCCTCCTCCTACTCTGAAAATGGAGGTAACAGGTTCCTCCAGAATTCTGGTATCCAAGTACTGCACTACAAGACATCACATCCCTGAATATGCTAATCTTCATAGGCATCAAAATGAGAACCTCAAATTTCACACAGTTCTTTCCTTGGACAGTATGATACTGTTTTAATATATGTCTTGTATTTGTTTCAGTTTGTAATAATAATTAATGAATAACTTGTGCATTTGAGTTATATTTAATCCCACCAGTTAACCCGTTGAAACATAAGAGTTTCCTACACATTACATACAAAAATTCTGTTTCTATCTAACAAGAACACACAGTAACTCTGTTATAAAGATAATTTGCTTAATGCAGACTGGGGAACAAACAGTTCTTTATTCTAAGAATCATACAGAATACATAAATCCAATGCACAAGGAAATTACAAAGAATTTTTCAGTGTTAAAGCAGGTGGTTCATAAAATAATCACAATACTTTGAAGTGCTAACTCCATTAACCTTTAACGACCGAAAGTCCGGTATACCGGACGGTACCTGTGACCTCGAAGATGCCGAAAGTCCAGTATACTGGACGCAAGACACGTGCTCACTTTAGAAGTGCTGACGGTTAGACGTTGAGTTTGAAACCAAAGCAAACACACGCAAGTTCAAGTCAGAGGTCCAGTTGTTGGCTCTGAACAATAAAACCCTTCATCATGGCACTGGGTTCGATTTCGTTTACATGTAGGTAAGACTGTTTGTGACTTGGTCAGCCAAACAGAGTGGAAGCTTCTTCACAGAAAAGCTGACCCAACATTCCTCTGTGCGGGCAGATCACTGCTTCTGTAGCTCTCAAGGAAGTGTGACGTGTTTAGTGAGTGTCTGAATTATCAGCTTGTGAGTCAGTGGCGGACTGTTTCTCTGGGGAAGCCAAGATTTTTCATTGAGTCATCTGGAACTGAACATTGACAACACTGTCCGGCCAGCCAGATAGAAACAATAACTTCCTGTTTGTTCGCTAAGCGAGAGACTGAACCAGATTGTCTACCAGCGTATGAGAAGTGAGGTCTGTGTGACCTTCACAACACGCTGAAGCAAACTCTGCCTCTCCGTGCTCCCGCACGCAGTATCTATAGTAGCGTAAACTTACACGACGCAACGAGTTGAAACTCGTGTACAGTCTGACCAAACATTTTGGTGTATAGTGTCAATGTATTTTGGATATAACGACGTCTCAAATTTGAAGAAAAAATTATGGGTAAGTCTTTTGGAATTTCATTACACATATAATAGAGAGTATATTTTGAATTTCATGACATAACAATCACAGTTAATTTTTATTTGTAAAAATTGCTATAGGTATATTGTAGGAAATTTCATTCTCTTTCAGGCGGTTTTTAGTTCGTATTTCTAAGCTGCATAGAACGGAAAATATGTAGTTTTTTCTGAAAGTAAACAATATTAAAAGGGCAACGTCAAATTAACTCCGGCAGCAGCGCAGTCGTGGGGGGTTTAAATGCCGACTCTTAAAGGTTAATCAAAGATCTAGAGAAGCAGACAGTTGCTCAACTGGTCTGTAAATTTGCTGCCTCTTAAGAAACCTGAGAGTTTGTTACCACATTCACAGGAATCCACTAGTTAATAACTTTTATTTCTGTGTGATTATCTGCAATATTACATTTTTATATTCTGAAATGTAGTAATATGATCCAGTGTTGATACTACTGAAACATAATTTATGAATGTTGTTAGTGATGGATGTTGTGATTGTTATATCTAGCTGTAGGTTATTATCACTTTCTGCAGGTGGACAGCTTGACAATACGTGGAACAGATCACAAAGGTAATGCTATATGTCTGAGGGTCACCAGAAAGCGGCACAATATTACTGAAGTCTGGCTCCATGTCCAGCTGGAAGATGGGTCTGTGTACCAGCTTCCAGGTATGTCCAAGAACTGCAGGTCTAGTACAAAACGTTTTTGGTTCTGTCAGTTCTCAAGCCAAGAATAGACACCTGTAAGAGCGCCATATGGGAAAGAGAAACTGACTTTGAAACAAATTTTTAAATTTATTCCTCTCATAATTTAAATTTTCAGAAGAGGTTCTACACAAATTGTCATTCCTGTTCTGAGTGTTAAAACACTGAAGCTTTATTCCCATCTCTTAATGATGTCTATTGGAGAGTTAGGTAACCTCTTAATGCTTTGATTACATCATGTGATGTAAATATAGGGACTGAGTTCCATTTACATATTGGCTCCAGTTTCACATTTTTATGTCTCTGTATGAAATAATGTAACATAGTTTTCTTGTTGATGTAACAGTTAAAATCTGAAGCTACAACTGGGTAGAAAAATCAGAATTAGCCTAACATGCATACAAAGGAGACCATGAAATATGTTGGAAAGAAGCAAAGGTCTTGCAGGTTGAAACAAACACTACATACAGGAAATACAAGGAATATGCCCACATGTCTTGGGTGGATCATCTGATCAGTCAAACCAGCTTGGACATCTTTCCCATCTGGACTCACATTATTGCAGCAGAAGTATGAGAATTAAACTGTCCAGTGTTGATTATGTGTGAAAATTGTGTTTTTATGTCTGTATCATACCAAGAATTTATCCCTATAGAGATGACTTCTATTCTGGTAGCTCCCTTATTTTAACAGCAATAGCTGTGAAATAATGCATGAACATAGGTGCTAGGCCTCATGCATGTTGAGTTTTTTAATGTTTCTCTTAACTCTGGCAGATGGTTTGTTCTTACCTTAGTTTATATGTCCTGTCTTGTGTTTTTCCTGGTTTCCACAGATAAGGACTAGCTCTGTTGATTGGGCCCAGCTGAGTAGGTTCAACCTGAAGACAGAGACAGAATCCAGTCTCCAAAACATTGCATGTTTAAATAAAAACAGGATGATGGACAGTGTCCAGAAACACAGTAATTGAATATCTTTGGGCTTATTAACTGGCCAAGGAACAGTCAGAAAAGACAAACAGAAGCTCTCAAATTTAAGAATTGTTATGGGCCAACCCCAGCTTTTCTGCATATTGTTGTATTATAAAGAAGTGAACTCTAGCAGTAGGATCGGAAGTTGCAGCATTAACAGTACCAAACCTTTCTTTTATCACTAGATCAAAATATTGTTCTTACCCTTTTTTTCTTATTCTTTATGATATCATAGCTATGGGGAGGCAGTCCACTACATAATATACAGATAGACAAGTCAGACAGCAGAATGGAAGGGAGAGTGCTTTGTCAGATATAGCACTGTCCAAATCATGTCATTCCACTGGCTAGCAATGGACATTGCAGTACTGTGAAACATCTGTTTTCACAGCACGTATACTATGCACGTAATTAAATGAAACATAAAAAGATATGAATTAAAAAGAAAGAAAAATATACTGGACATACATAATTGTGAATATATTATGTATCAACTGCAAAAATTCCAGTACTTTATTAACTTCATATATGAGAGACAAATATGCACATAATAAGCCCATGAGACACTGGTGGTAGTCCTTCTGCTATCTTGAATACAGTCAATCAGTGATTATTTATCAATATTTTCATTGCTTTTCTGTATTTTGATTCATTCTTGAAGTTGCTGCATGTCTGATGTGGGGTAACATCTTCTGTTTGATCTTTAAGTCGCATAACTAACACAGAAGCTGTCTTCTACTCATTGTGTTATTTCCACAAACTTGCTACAACATTTTGTATACTTCAGTGGAATTTTTCTTCAAGTTCACTGGAAAGTTGTTATTAATTTTTTTACTCACAATTTGTTATCCACGTTTTGGCAAAAACACAATACTATGACAGGGAAACACTTAATGCAGCTACAAACAAGACTGAATTCCAGCGACTTTTTTAAACAGAACTGCCAAACCACGTAATGTGATCAAGCATTATTTGTATCATGTAAAGAATGTGTAATATTACTTAAACATTTTTCTGGTTTATGTATAATTCTCAAGAGATTTAAATAATTGCTCCTATTCTGTCATGACTGGTTCTTTGTGTTTTAGAGCACCCAGACACTGTTCTGCAGGGTGACAACAGAACATCCTGGAGTGGTGGAGGGCTCAAATTTAAGATGTGTGAGCCAATGCGCATTTGGAGAATCACATTCAATGGGTTGCTTAGGTATGATGGCTCCTAGCTGCTTTTAGTAACGTGTTTGTAAAAATGTCAGTATCATTCTCTAAAGGTATGAGAGAATGCTGTTTCACTTAGGCATTATCTGTTGTCTGCAGCAGTGCTGGACTAGATAGTGTTTCCCAGTATTTAGAATTCTTCATCAATGATGTGGGAACCTGAAGTCTTGCACCAGTTCTCTTTAATTCACATTATGCATCCATCTTTTCACTTTAGCACATTGTCACAACAGAAAGACATTTGTTTTCTCACATGTATAGGTTGATTCAGAAAGATGGACACAATTTCAATTGGCTATATTACCTGAATTATATGTTCCATTTGAATTCTGTAAATTACATTTGATTATACATACATGGAAGTTTATAGATGTTCAATGTGCCCCCCTCCGGCTGCATGGATAACATCAAGACGGTAGCTGAATTCATCCCACACTCGATGACAAATATCTTGCATCACTGAGCTCACCGCAGCTGTGGTACGGTTTCTTAGGTCATTCAGATTTTGGGAAGAGGTGGTACATAAAACTGCATCTTTCACGAATCCCCACAGGAAAAAGTCAGGGGGTGTGAGATCAGGAGACCTCGGTGACCAGAACTGAAGTGTCAGGTCTTCATTCCCCATGTGACCTATCCATCGTTGAGGTAGAGATTCATTCAGAAAACGTTAAACAATCAGGTGCCATTGAGGTGGAGCTCCATCCTGCTGGAAAATGTAATCTCCTGAATCTTCATTCATTTGAGGAACAAGCCAGTTTTTGTAGCATTCTAAGATATATTACTCCAGTAAACATGTTTTCATCAAAAAGGAAAGGTCCATAAACCTTTGTTAACGATATTGCACAGAACACTTTCGGGTTGTCCCTCACATGTTTGAGTGTTACATAGGGATTTTGTAGCCCCCATATGCAAACATTGTGCCTGTTGACTTTGCCACTTAGGTGAAACATAGCTTCATCACTAAAAATTACACGAGGCAGAAACAATTCATCTTCCATGTTTTTGAGCATACGGTCACAAAATTCTACACGCTTTACATTATTGTTTGCGCGAAGAGACTGTACCAGTTGTAGGTGGTATGGTTTGTACACTAACCAGCACCTCAGTACATGCCAGCCAGTTGTTTGCAATAGTCCAAGTTCTCTATTAGCACTATGGGTTGACTTCAATGGGCTACGCTCAAAGCTCACTCAAATGCGCTCCACATTCTCCTCCGATACCCGCAATCGGCCCGGGCTTTTACCCTTACACGGAGAGCCAGTTTCATCAAATTGTTTATTCCAACGATAAATGCTCTTCCTCGTTGGAGGTTGGATGTTAAACTTACAACAAAATGCACGCTGCACTGCAGTCGCAGACTCACTTTTACTGAAGTCATGAATGCAAAAATTCTTGTGTTGCATAGTAGCCATCTCGCTTACAACTGACGTGGTGCTGGAGTGCTCTAGCAGTAGTATTACAAAACTTTACAACAACCTCTTTCAAATGTACTTTACAGAATTCAAATGCAACATACAGTTCAGGAAATATAGCCAGTTGAAATTGTGTCCATCTTTCTGAATCACCCTGTATATGTCCTTTCATATTTGTCACCTTACTGTTCCTCTGTCCCTGCAAGTTTATGGTTCTCTTTTGCTTTGTATCGTGTCATTTGCTAATCTCAACTTCACCCTCTTCTGTACACACACACACATTCTTACCATATAGTAAAGATAATATTGTGGGAACTTGTTGTACTGTTCTGAACAGGCTGCATAATAAGGATGTGTGTTGACATGGGGTATCCACAAGCCCCCCCCCCATCCCCCATTACTGTGGAGCCTAGTTTTGGACGAACTTGTGAAGCTCAGTACATAGAGACTACACTGATGATATGGTCATGCTGGGCTGATGTAATGTTTTCTGAACATAGTACAGAACTAGCACAAAGGAGTCACCTGTCAATCCTCACAAAACGGAACTTTTGCTTTTCACCAAAAGCAGACAGGTTAGGAGAACCTTTTGTGCTAGATAGTGTAAAATATCTTACCAGCTTAGTGAAGTGCATGGGATTTCTCCTGAATGCTCAGCTGACTCAGTGGAAGCATGTGAAACAAAGAGTTAGAAAATTTTAATCTATGTCAAGGACTATCAGCAAGACATGAAGTCTCAAACTGAACAGTATGCATTGGTTTGATACAGATATCATAAGGCTCGTGCTTATGAATGAGGCAGTTGCTGGCATGGGTCATCACTGAGTCTGAGTCTATGGTTTTATCCCCCCCCCAATGCAGAGGCTAAGGCCAGGGACTTGGATTATGGGCCCAGGTGTACAAGACTTTTCTAGTAGGGACTCAGATGTAGGTCTAATGGAATCTGACCCTGCTTTTTCAGTCAAACCAGGATAAAATGATATTAGTAATGGCTTTTGGTACTCTCTATAAAGTGGATATCTCGTCATACGAACGTTGGATACTGACTTGGCTATGACCCTTCAGTTTAGACAGACAGATCCAGGATGGTGGGAAGTCTGGAGCAGGTTTGTGTATGTGTATGTATGGTGAGGTCAGGGAAAAGGTTCATTTTTCCACTTGGCATGCATGATACAATGCTGCAGTGCACATCTGTGTATGCTCAGATAGCCAAGCAGCCTTGTAGGCCAAGGCTTTTGGTGACACTAAAAACTTGTCTGAAAATGTTGACAAGCAATTGCATCCTATCCAGTAAGAAAAAGTTTACATTCATCTAGGCCTTGATCACAGTAGGGTTCAGGGTAAGGAGGATGTGGTTACCTAGGCTAGGAAAGATTGAAGAGCCCTTTTCTTAGCCCCAAACTAGCAATTTCATGTTCATCGTGTGTTCCTGGGCTCAGAGTTAAGGAATAACTGAAGGAGAGGCAGTCTGAACGTTGGACTGCCATGCTAGATACAAGACAGCCGAAGATCTTCATTGAAGGACCTTCAGGTAAACTGCTAAGGACCTTGGAACAAGACTATTAACTTACCATTTTTCCTCTTCCCCCCCCCCCCCCNATTAACTTTCCATTTTTCCCTCTCCCCCCCCCCCCCAATGCATCCTGTTGTGTTATAATATATAACTTCTTTATTAAAATATTGTGTTGTGACAGTCTTAATAAAGAAGTTATTTACCATTTTCCATTAACATGACAAGTTTTGGGTTTTTCTGAAAGTGCCATGTGCAGCAAATGTAGGCAGGAGAAAGAATCATCCTTCCACATGCTTTGCTAATGCCCTGCTTTGGCTAGGCATAGATGACCTTCAGAACTGCGTGCTTAATTGTGCCATGTACCAGGAAGTATGGTTTGAGTTCTGGCATTACAGTCAGGGGTGCATAGTGGACCTGATCGTGGTAGATGCTTGGGGTGACTGAAAGTTTACCCCCAAAGTCACTATGAATACGAGTCTGTTACATGCAGTTGACAATTTTTTTAATAGATACTGTATGTGTGAGGTGGATGGAACAGGTATCACACATGGGAATATAAGAATTGCATAAAAAGTTTGAAGTTGGAATATCTGAAGAGGAGAACAGTTTGGAGACTTATAAGTAGGTGGGACAATAGTATTAAAGTGCATTTTGAAGAAGTGTGTGTGTGAAGTAGATTCATCTGGCTCATGATAGGTTTTTGTAAATGTGGTAAGGAAATTTCAGATTTTGCAAAATATGGATTATTTATTGACCAGCTGAGCATCTGTCAGCTACTCCAGAATGATGTTTGTCACATTGTGATCAGCAGGGCCCGGATTTTGATGACCTGAAAATATTTATAAAATGACTGAAAAAAATTCAGAAAAATGACCTAAAGGAGAAAAGAAAGAACACTTTGCTTCTATATTATTCACATTTCAGAAAATATATGAAGAAAAATTCCCTAAAATGGCCAAAAATGACAAGAAATACCCTTAAACGTCCAAAAAATTACCCCCAAAATGAAAAAATGACCTTAAACCTAAAAATGTAAAAAAATGACAAAAAATTACCTATAAAATTTACATTTCTATAACCAGCAGCTCATATCCAAGATTTATATATTTAAGAGCATCACATAGGATACAAGGAAAAAAAGATGACATGTCATCAAAATCTGGGCCCTGGTAATCAGTGTTCAATGTAATTATGACATAATTGTTATTATATCCAGTGCCCCCTGTGTTTGTTTAGACGTGGGGTGAAGGAGAAGAGGAACATGGAGGACAATGAAAATGATAGAATTCATCATGTCCAGTTCCGATTTATGTAAGTATGATCAGAGGTTGGTTTAAACTCCAGATGTCAAAGCAGATATTATACTTATTTAAGTAATTATTTCCCCTTGGTTTACAGAAGTTCATTGTCATTTGGAGGAACATACTTCCCCATCTGCGGAGTCAAAGAATAAGCTCAGCCTGTATGTTCCTCCAGATGTCTGTAAAATTCTACAAGTCTATGCAGTATCACATCCCATGAGATGTGCTATTCATAGTCATCACTGTGAGAAACTGAACTCTTCTCTCCTGTCTTCCTAATTTCTTTCAAATTTTCTAACTCTGAAACATGAAGAAGACACATGTTTTGATATTTTGAAATGGAAAAGGACAATGACATATTAGAATATTCTTGCTGCATGCTATACTCAGTAAAGTAGTCACAATGTATTATTTTAGCTTACCACTAAGGATGTTTGTGCGTCACATAAAAAGAAATTCTCCAACAAAGTAGGATTTTTGGTTCTCACAGCAGTGGTCATGAAGAGCCGACTTCTGACACTCCATGTCATGTAACAGAATGTGACTATAGATAGGTTTGGATTGATGACCTGATTTATAGCACAATTTGATACAGCACATGACTACACATCACAGTTCACTGTTGCACAAACACCAAACACAGTCACCAAAGTCAAAGTTATTTTGCTACTGTCAGTTTATTGCCTATCAGTTCATCTTGGCATCAAGACCCTTGAGACTTATGACCAGAGCCTTTTTTTTCTCCAACTGAACCCTTATGGTCATAGTCCTTATGTAACAGCCTCTCTGACTTCAAGATGGATTTGTCTCTTAGGAATATGCTTGGCCTTCGGTCAAGTGTACTTATTGCATGTATAGCATGTTACCAAAAGTTCTTCTTTTGCACTATACACAAGCCCCATGTCAGTACAGGCTTGCAGAGCACATCATGCCTATCTTACATATCTTACGAGTATGCTACGATGGCAGCTTAGTCACTTGAATGGTCATAAGCTGGGTCTCTGCCAAGTTTAAGCCTCTTTTTATTTCTCTGTCTGGCTTCACCTTGTCCTCTACTGTCAACTTGTTCATTCTTGTTATTTCTTTTGTGACTTGTGCCTGTTGCCTGGACAATTTTGTTATATAATTGTATACGTAAGGAATGCTGAAAGCCATGTGCAAATCACAGACTTGTGTGGACCTTGGAAAATTTCCAATGGTGCAGAGAACCTTGTTTTGCAGGCACTGGAATTTTAAGAGGTTTGCCGCTAATTCCCAGGCAGGACAAGCATAAGTCATTGCTGATCTGATCAATGCCTTAAGGAGGTTTACTTTAATGTTGACACTTAGATGCTCACTTTTGAATAGGCAGTAGATTCTAATGAATATTCTGAAGGCCTTGGCTTCAACAATTTCTGTGTCTCCACGTAACCTTCTTATCAAAGATTACTCCCAGATATTTCACGCAGTTAACAGGGGATATTCCAGCCATTAAATGTAAGTCGTAACTAACTCGTCCTGTATATAACATCTTGGCATAGACCACACAGAAAACACCGTTCCTCTGTTGCTGAACCACTGTTGTGTTCATGTCTATTGGGGTTCCCATGTGATCGCTACTCAGCCATTGCCTAGCAGCGGCCGTTATTTACACCTCTGTAACACATAACCTACAAAACAATTTACACACAGACCCTATCCCACTCATGTTGCTAGGTTCAAACAATCTAGACTAGAACTATTAAAGGGCCAGTGAATATTTTCCTGTAACTTGCAGATGGACATGCTGTAGTGATGTAATTGACATACAGAGAGACTGGAGCACAGCTCTGATTTCTGATGCTTTAGCCAGAGAACCGTGGAGAAATGGAAACTGGATGAAAATGAGGTTAGTGATCTTTCACATGGCCAGTGCTGTGCTTCTTCTTGTCTCAGTTTGCAATATGAGCTCCACTCCCCTTTGCTTTTATCTACTGGAATATATCTGCCTTTGGTTTCTATATGCTTTTCAACAGAGAGTTCACAGTGTTTCTCCCTTTCATTTGTTTGGCATCATTAATGCATCATTTTAGTGTACTTCTCTATTATTCATTTATGTATATGTTGGTACTCTACTACAGGATGCTTCGCCAAGCAAATTTGGATATGTGACTTGTATTCCAGAGGTACCTAATCTGAATCATGGATGGAACTCCGTCTATCATAACTGAGGTTTTCTGGGATTTCCGCAGTCATAACCACTTTCCCTGCAAAGACATTCAGCTTTTCTAAAGTAATGGAATGTCATTAAATAACCAAGGAATAAATTACATAGAAACTGTTTCAACTAAAGGGGGTGGATAAACTAATAGGAACACTAAGTAATTAAGGAATAGAATTTGTTTGTGTCAGCTACACTGAAAGAACTTCAGTTGGCGACAATTCAGTTCAATTTTATTTCATCCATGAATCATTGTACATGATATGGGACAAGTCAAAGATTGATATTAATACTAATACTAAATACTAATAAGAATATAATAATACAGAAATAGTATGCCAAATTATAATAATTAATAATAATAATAATAATAATATAGTAATACAGAGATAATAATATGACAGTATAATTAGTCTTGAAAACAGTTTCTGTGGTCTTAAATCCTCCATATGTCCTATTGTACCTTTACTGGTGGTAATGCCTATGGAGATTTGATGGAATGAGGAATGACACTGAATATTCTTCTTCCTTTTTTTTTACACTGTAATGCTCATGTCAGTGCATTAGTGACTGTGTTGACTGACAGTCCATGTGAAAGAATCAGGAAAAGGGAGACTTGTCTGATCTTTGTGCATGTTTAACTGGAGCATCTGTGACAAAAACTGCTACATCAGTAGGTGCATTGAGAGCGACAGTTTCTAAGTTATGTCAGCACATGAGTACATGAATCTTAGGAAGAAAACATCAGTGAAGAGGAACAATGGACAAAAATCAACATTGACAGAAAGAGATCGTGTATTGAGAAGGGTTGCTTCAAAAAAACACTAAAACTACTGCAGCACAGGTAACAGCAGACCCTGTTTCTACAAAAACTACCTGACATGAGCTTCACAAACCTGACACCCATGGAAGGGCTAAAATTGCCAAACCTCTGATTACTGAAAGTAATACTCAAATGCATAAATGATGGTGTCAGGACCATAAAACCTGGGCATCGGAGAGTTACAAATGCGCTTGCAGTATGGTCAAGTGAGTCAGTCTTCGCCCTGTTCCCAACATCATGAAGATTCTATGTTTGCAGAACACCCCAGGAAGCCCAGAATTCGAAATGCCCAGTTCCAACAGTGAAACATGGGGGAGGTTCTGTGATGGTTTGAGCAGCAGTATCATGGTACAGTATTCTGTTGGTCCCATTATTATACTTCATGGCCAAATGACTCTAATGGAGTAAGTGGACAGTTTGGGTAATCAGGTGCGTCCCATGGTCCAGACGTCATTTCCAAACAACGATGCAGTTTTTCAAGGTGACTGTATGCCCATTCACACAGCTGGAAATGTTCAGTCATGGTTTGAAGAACATGAAGGTGAACTTCGGCATCTTCCCTGGCCAGCACAGTCACCAGATTTGAACATCGCTGAACCACTGTGGTCAGTTTTGGAGACTAGAGTGAGGAAAGGATTCCCACCTCCAACATCTCTAAAGCAACTTGAAGCTATTCTTTGAGAAGAGTGGTATAAAATTCTGCTAGAGACTGTTTAAGCTTGTATGAGTCCATGCCGAGAAGGACTGCAAATATACTGAAGGCAAAAGGTGGTTCAACTCTATATTAATAAAGAAATGTGTACAGTATCAGTGATGTTCCCATTATTTTGTCCAACCCCTGTATATGTGCTGTTTAAGGTGGCAATTAAACCAAGTGAAGCCGAAAGTTGAACATTCCTGTCTCCTTATGTTTTTGTAATGACAGAATCAATGGTCTTTTGGTTGGTATACTCGTACTAGACTTGTACCCAAATGGTTCTTGTTTTCAACTAAGACACTGACATAGTGTATGAAACAAGACAAAACAGAAGACTATAAATTGAACACCAGTAAAGACATGTGTTCATGCAACACCCAAAATACTGTGTATGTAAACTTCACCCAAGATACACAGCACTATGTGGAAAAATTTAACTGGGTAACTCTTTGGTATTAGAATTTGAATGTTCATTACTACTGATACTAAAGATCACCATGGGACAGAATTCTGAACCAGTTTCATACACCTGCCATCCTTACGGCCCTTATCACTGCAATCCATCCATGATATAATTTCAGTTGTTCATTCTTTCAAGTATTGTACCAACTTTCCTAAGCATATATCCATATAAACTGTGTGTGGATTTACAGCTGATCCATCTGAGCTACATATCCAGCCCACTTGTACTTCATAGATTTTAATATCGTAGCAATACTAGTGTGACATGTATAAATCCTAAAGTTCCTCATTGTGTAATATGCTTTGTTGCCTATTTATATCTTCCATCTACCAAGCAGCTTGGTGTAGTAACGATAATTCCCTATACTTGTATTTGGGATGTTTTCAGTTTGAATCTCAGCTGAGACACTGGCCACATGTCCCGACTGAGTTTTCCTTTTTGTGTTTTTAATCGGTCTCTCCAAACAAATACCATCAAAATACCTCAGTTATACCATGACAACTTCTCTCCAAATACTTTACAGTTCATCATCCTATCATTTGACACTGTATAGTCTGAGATACTGCCAACAATGTAAAATAAATCACAAAAGAAGTCCTTCCTGTTAAGTCCAAGTATTTTCATGAACACTTCACTTATAAACACTTTTGTTATGTTTTGCCACCAAAGCAAGGGACTGTATTTCATAACCACACAAAACAGCTGACAAAAATTGTTATTATATATTCATAATATTTAGTGTTTTAGAAAGCAAAATGAGGTAATAAATATTTTGCCACAAGTAGTAACTTATTCAGTGTATCAGAGTTCTTAAAGTCACTCCGCTGGTCAAGAAATTCTCCACACTCTGTAGAACTCATATGTTCATTACCATGTTAACCTACCCCCCCACTGGATCCTGTCCTAAGCCAGATAAATTCATTCAGTATTACTGGTATACTCCTATCTAATCATAAGTCTCCCCAAATTTGCCTCTTCCCTTCAGGTTATTCAACTAAAATTGTATACTTTTCTCATTTCCTCCATGCATGCTGCATATATTACACATACCACCCATTTTGTGCTTCCTTGATAATCACCTAGTAATAATATGTTTAATTGTATGGAGCAAGAGGATATGCTTGGGTCTATGTTGTAACATGATTGAATGTGATTGAAGGAAACAGCTAGGAGAGGGATATGACCAGTGGGGCACTCTTCAAGGTACATGGACTCTGGTGAGTGATGGCAGTACTACAAGAGAATTATACCTAAGAGGTATCAGACAAAGACGTTATGGAACTGATGATGCTGTGTGGCAACGCAGAGCTGTGAGCTATGTTGGAGTGACTACAGACGGATCGATGTTTAGTATTGAGGCAAGATGCAACAATAAGCCAGGCATTACACAGTAAGTGACGCAAGATGATGCATGGATTTCTTTCTGTTTAATATGCTCATGATGTATGTGTGCAACAATTCCTTCCCAGGCAACCAGCCATGTGTAGATGAAATTAATATCTTAATTATCATACATTGATATAACAAGTGACATACCTGCGTGTTGCAATTACACCCAGAGTCTGGTGTCTTGGTACTTCTTGGACTGAAGGGGATCAGCGGGTGGTTCATGCACTCAGTCACCACAGTCCAGGATGTGAACTCACATTGACCCTTCATTCCACTGCTTGTTGATTGCCATCTGTCATTGAAGGACAATACGTGGCTAGCCAGATGCTTTAACAGGGGAGGGACATCACAGAAGATCAAAAGGAGGGACCAGTGAAAGCTAGTATGCTGGAGTCTGTCTCCAAATTAAGCAACGTGGATTGTAATGGGAGAGCACCTCACTGCTCGCACTGTTTCTGGAGCCGTCTGCACTGGAACAGGGCACCAGGCTGCAAGGACAAATTCCATGGGTGTAAATGCAATGTGCAGCTGCATCATTCATCTTGGAGGCAGAGACAATCTTCAAAATATTTCTTACTAATTCCATCTTTACGTAGGTGGTTGTCAAAGAAAGTTTTATTGCATTCTGTAGCCTGTTTCCTTATTTTGAAAAATTATAAGCAGGCATATGAGATCACCATGCTGTGTGTCTGTGAATTCCCTCATATCAGCTTTTGAATGCCAACGTAAATCTTTATGAAACTTTATGTATATACCATAACATTTGAGCTCATCTCAATAGCATACTTCATAAATCCCTGCTGTCAGTCTGTGTGTCTGTATGTTTGCTGGGCAATGGCTCAGTAAAGACATTCCCATGGCAATGAATACAAGCGGTAATAGGCGAATTGTTGGATATCTGCAGGTCTGCCTTTGTGTCCCATCTCATTTCTAGGTAACAGCTCCGTAAGGACCTTCCCATGACAATGAAGAATTGTTGGAGGCCTCACTTTCTGTGTGGCCCATGTCATATCAAAGGAAAGTAGGCGATTAGTTCTTCCCACAGCTTTTTGCTGTGTCCCTCAAATGATCTGTAGGCTGGTAACTTTTGATTCTGCTAACATTTATAAGAATATGATTTATTTTATCCGTCTTCTAGTGCATACATATCCCCTCTTTTCACTCTCACTACATGTTTCGGCACCAATGTGCCATCTTCAGGTGCTGATCCAATCCACGACAAACTAATTCATTGCATGCCTTGTCTTTACATACTAAAATAACTAAAATATTGTAGCGTGTCTTGTGTGTCACGCTACAAATAAGTTCACGCCGTGGTTCCAATATAGCAAATTTATTTCCTTCGCTCACTTACACACATTACAATCATTTGTACGTGCAGTGTTACAATCACTGCTTACAATAACTGGGCGATGCTGGACCCAGACGGATATTCCGAAGCTTCTTCTTCGAGGCCGTTCCGCGACTAACTTCTTAGCTAGCTATTCGAAGACTGACTTATTTATACCCTCGCCGCTGCTAGGCAAATGAACCTTCTGTTATAACCATGGAGACGTTGCTTTGTTTGTCGTTACCGTGGAGATTCGATGTTCTCGATACAACAGCTCACTGTTGGAATTACAGTATCGCTATTGTTACTTCTTATGCAACGGTCTGTTCTAGCGTTTCCATAGAAGTGACTTCTGGATTCCAGACACGTTACATTGCTCCCTTCTAAAGGTTATTCGTCCCCGAACAGCCTAAAGGTCCTCCCTCGGTTTCGATTCGCGGTGTTCTGCTGGCAACGTCTGCATTCAGCCTTGGTCTCCTGCGCGAGTCTTGTTGCGCTGTTCATCTTACCACGTCCGCCCCTCTCTTCATTTG